AAAGGCTAAATAATAAAAGTAAATAAGTATAAAAGTATAAAAAGTATAAAAATTAATAGTAAATATTACTAATATAAAGGATAAATAATTAAAAGTAAAAGCTATTTATTAGCTAGCTATTAGTTATTTAATAATTTATATAATTATAATAAAAAGTATATTTTTAAATAATTTAATATTTCTTTTTAAAAAAAATATTAATATAAATTTAATAATAATAGTAATATATAAGTAAATAAATTAGCTTATTAGCTAATTGCTAGCTAGTAATAGCTTAGCAGCTATATAGCCTAAATAAACCTTTTATATAGCCTGCTTATATATAGTTAAAAACACTATAAATAACAACTAACTACATTACTAAACTTAATCGCTAGCAATTTCTATGCGTACGCACAACAAAGCCCTACTAATAGTAACCGTCTCGAATAGAATTCCCGACGTTTTATGGGGTCTGTACAGCCTGCAAAGTCGCCCTGACGGCATGCGGCTCACCTTCGCAATGCATCCCGGTCAGGTCCACCTCGCTTCGTACGTTTACCGTGCAGAATGTAGGAGCTTCTCCTTCACAGTTTTGTCAGTATTCAAGGTCTCGGTATCCTCGTTGCTCTCGAACCAGCTATACTTTTGACGCCAGCCAGTTCCCGAGAACGGTCTTGTAACTCGTCATGAATTACACAATTGGACCCCCAGCTCTTTAGATTGGCCCACCTAGTACGCAGATTTACATATAGAACACTAAAAAAAAAATATTCTATTTACTCAGTAAACAAAATAATTTTCCCAGCGAAATGGGCTCTCTTACGTACATAACAGGCAATGCTGTCTCTGCGCTCACTGCCGCGTAGCTAACATGTAGGTCAGCAGCATGCCTGTCTGAATTTCTGCACTATTCAGCTTCCCATGGCGGGGCATCTGCCCGCTTCCAAAATCCCCGATACTTAAGTGTTCCCGGGCTCATTGCACGCTTACTTTCCCGTGCCTTCATCCACTCTACTTCCCAATCTGCACAGAACCGCCCATGGAAAGGCCGTATATCCCACAACAATAATCAAACTTGGCCACCCTTGATGGTGCACTCTACCCGCCAAGTTTCCCAAAACTCGTGCCCAAGTCTGCTTTCAAATAGTCCAGAAAATCGAGGAACCGACTTCTCTCTGTCGAACGTACGACCGCGATGGCGGAAAATGATACCGACGAGCTCTGCCAAGCGTGCTCAAACATCGACCTATACTCGATTTTCACGGGTCCGCGGTACTTCCCTCACGATGCTGTCGGTAACCAGGGCGGGATTCTCACATACGCCGGCACCTTGCGCGAGGTACTTGACAACATCAGATGTCCACTGTGCCGCCTCATCAAGCATGACCTCTACAGCGAGTTGTCTCAAGACACTTCGTGCAGTCTGTGGTACGATTCCGAGGAGCAGCCCGACCCATCCAGGGTCCGATGCTGCCTACGTCCGGAGCGCGCGGATTACTACGAAGAGACGAGATACGTGGCAAAGGAGACTAGAGATCAGGTGGCAACGCTAGTTCAGGTGAGACTTGTGGGTGTAGATGGTTGCAGCACCGAAGAGGAAGACCGCATCAGAATGTGTTACCAAGGAAACGGCCTGCGGCTGCTTTCTCCCGGCTCTGTGGACCCAAGTCGACCGTTGTTGAACGGACACCAAGCAACGACCTTGACGCAAAGTCTAACTCTACTCTCCGACTGGATCAGAACGTGCTTTAGTTCTCATCGAGACACGTGCGGGCTTTTAGATGTATCTCATCAAAACAAGCCTGGCCGCGTTCGCCTCATTGATGTGGCTTCAAGAACGTTGGTATACGGTGACCCGGAGGTCTGCTCGTATGCAGCCTTGAGCTATGTCTGGGGGCACAAGACTGAGCAATACCTCAAATTTGCCGATGAGATACAACAAGGCGACGACGGGGTCACGCTTCTGCCTTCTTCTGCTCCAGAAATCATCGAAGACGGCATGGATGTGTGCAGAAGACTCGGAATACCATTTCTATGGGTCGATCTGTATTGTGTTGATCAGCATGATCCGGTCAGGAAAACCGCAGATATAAGAGACATGGGTCTCATATATCGGCAAGCTTTAATTACGTTTGTAGCAGGAGGATCCGGATCTCGTCTTCTACATTCCGCAGCAGACAGTGTCGAAGGACAGCTGGTCGAAAACATACGCGGCAAGAGTTACATCACGTCGTCTGTCTCAATGACCGATCAGATACACGGATCGGCCTGGAATGAAAGAGGTTGGACATATCAAGAAGGTGCCCTTGCACACAGAATTGCCTTCTTTGGAGAGCATGGTATTTCTTTTCTCTGCGGCGCCGGCCGTTGGAGTGGGTGCCTTCACTCGGGGAGGTACGGGCATAGTGCCCAAATTACCGATCTGGATCTTCGCTCCACAACTCATTACACGCTTCTCGCCAACAAGTGGTTAAGAGACTCAGAGTGGAGCTTCGGAGACTTCCATACTATGTTGAGCGTGTTCTCCGGACGGGCGCTCTCATACGAGTCCGATAAGCTCAATGCCATCTCCGGCTGTCTCAATATGGTTGGACGGCGGAAAGGCATGCATTTCGTGCATGGACTACCATTAAATGACTTCCACTACGCCCTGCTATGGACAGGCGAGTATGACCGTCCCCGGCCCGGATTCCCAAGCTGGTCTTGGGCCGGCTGGCACGCTCTTCAGCAGCGTTATGATATTGAGCCAGACAAGGGCAGCTCTGGAAAGCTCCACGACGATGGTACAGGGCAGCTACGTCCTGCCATACCTTCAACGGCCGAAATCAGTTTCGAGGGGCTGCTACTCAACAGGGGCATAGAGAATCCATCACCCTCGAACCGGTGCTCGCAGAACGTGGCCGATGTTGCTATCAAGGACGAGACACTGACAATCAACTCGGAGATAGCACACTTCTCGTTTGCAGTTGTATCGGGTCCGATAGACATGGAAGAGGTGGAGGAGGATCATAACTGCGTACCATCAAGCTTCGACAGCCTTGAGGCTCGGACTTCTGTTCCCGACTGGGATTCAGATCGCGAATATCGCACACCTTTCGAGCGCATACGTCTCGTCGATGTGAATGGAAACGCTTGCCAGTATCATTACCCACGTTGGTACGATCACTGGCCACATATAAAACTCAATTTCCCACGTACCCTCCGTGGCTCAACTCTCACTTGGCTCCTGCGCGACGGTATAGACCTTGTTAAAATTGTTGAGGTCGAGCTTCTGGAGGGTGAAGATGGTCTGGGAGAATTCCATCATGTGCTTTGCCTTGGTGTTGATACAAGCGATGGAGAACCGGGTCGAGGACGAAGGTTGGGTATGTTTTGCTTGTCTAGGGAGATCTGGACCAGGGCATCACCGAGAAAAGACAGTATTCAGCTCATATAAGGCGGATGCCGCAGCAATACAGATATAATGAGTTCGAGCATTGGAAGAGGCAAGTTCTAGATATTGGCCTGTGGTTCTATGTGACAGGTGATGCAGACAAGTTACTGTGTGATCCCAGCTTTGAGAATTAAACAGACTGGCTCAACATGATGATGTAGGCATTAGACCTTCAAATCCAAGCCCTCTCACTCTCTACTACGTGCACTTCAATGTTGCGTCGCTCTCCTACCTCCCCTTCCCACTATCAATAAGAACACCCCGCGATCCTTCGGACAACTTGACTATTTGAGATGAATTTCAATTACATCCAAGAGTTTATCTTCAATTGCTTTTTCCAGCTCCATCCGAAGTTCAGACAGGTCTGGTATATCAGCAACGCCGATAAGGGAATATTCATGGGTCTCCGGGTGCTCAGGGTCCATGGGTCGCACAACTATTGGCACTTCCATTCCAAATGGGAAGACAATCCGGTCCCCGGCTTCCATATGATCTGGACCAACACCGAAAGACCCGGCATCTGTACCAAAGACCAAGTTGCCCTTGAGGCGGGAGTTGAGTGCGTTGCAGAGCTGATTCACAACATATTCAGCTGTGAGTCCTGTAGGTCGTTGCCTCAACTTTTCCTCTGTATATTGCAAAAGAATGCTAAAAGAGGAGTCATAGTCGACATTCTCCATTGATAAGAGCATACGTAACATCGCATGCACAAGCCGCTTATGCTTGGATAAAGAGTCCAAAGAGATGTGGTCCATGAAGGTCCGTATCATATGGTACGCATCTTGCTCCCGATTGTGGAGTATCCCTAAGGCGTGAAGAACAGACGAAGTCGGTGGTTTGCGACTGAGTGCTTCCGTGATACATTGGGTAGCTCGTCGTAGATCGCTTAGATTGGGGTCATGGGACCAGAAGGGGTCTTGGAAGAAAGTCCCGATTCGAACGGCGCATGTTTCGGTAACGGCGTCGAAATATATGCCATGGAATGTGAGCGTCCTTCTATCCGAGGAAATCCTCACGATCGGTTGTTTCAAAGGATCATGTGTCGATGGGAACGGAGAAGAACGAAGGCTGTCGTCTTGCTGTGAAAGGTCGGGAACCCAAGACGGTATGTCATGAGCATTGTCAAGAATACCTCTGTGGCGATATTGCAACTTTTTTAGCACCCTTGAAAGCCATCTCGATGAGTAGGGAGAGGTCCAGACCGCGATCATCGCATCATGAAATACTTCCATTGGTGGTTTAGAATAGTCGACACCGATAAGCCTCTGTTCTTCTATTGGAAACAGGGCCCGTAAAGCGTAAACGTAATCTGCCTTTCTCCTTGCAGACTGACTAAGCAGATCTGCGTACCCGGCGAGAAGGGCACATATCGAGTTGAGGTAAGGGTGCATGTGTTTACGCTCCCCTTTGTTCTGTATGTAGGATCGGAGATCATTCCAAGCCCACGCCTTTAACCCAGGAAGTGAGGCAGTAACCATGAAGGGCAAATTAGATTGCGTGGTGACCCACAGGTTATTTCTTTCATCGCGGAATTCCTTGGTGAACCGGATTCGGTTGTCAATTCTATTCAAATTTTGGAACACAGTCACGTATTCCGACCAAGGAACGCTTCCGCTTCCGATAAGAATAATCGGATCACGCTTCGCCAACATGATCTCCTGTACGACCCATAGGCGAGACCACCAGGATCTACGACACAAATCGTCCATTGAGATAGCGACTGCGCGGATAATAAGCGACCCTGGCGCAGGGCCGTCCACTTGTTTTGCTTGTTGGGCAGCCTCCGCACAAAAATCAACGTCGCGTAGAAGCGGTAAGAGCCAGTCGGTGTCAACATTGCCTTCCCCGAGCCAAGGCAACACACGAGTTGCTCTTTCATAGATCCAACTTGAGAATTCTGCTCTTCGGTGTCATCTTGGTTGATGCAAATGGCGTCGACCCACAGTGGAAAGCCGCACGTTGTATTGAGATGGTAGTCACGGAGATGACGTAGAGCGCTCTCCAAATTGGTTGTGACGGATACGGTGGTTTCGTTGACGACGATGTTCGTCTGCTCGTCGGGGCTTCCCCATGTGTAGGAAAGGGCGTTGAACGAAGGATCAAAGTCGTTCAGAAATGTCTTAAACATCCGGCAATGGACAATTTCGTCTTTTGGGTCGTGATCTGCCTCGAGGGGAAGAATCTGCAAAAGTCGGATCTGCTTCTTGCTAGAGTCGAGACGGGCACCGTGAACAGCCGCATGATCAGTCAACACAATGCCTTCCGTAGGCTCTGAAGTTGTGCTCCATCCAGATGAGTCGGACGACATTGAAGATTCGGACAACGTTGACGTTTCGGAGACCATTGACGATTTGGTGACCGTTGAGGGTGATCTCCGTCTCTTGAACGACCTGCCAGCACCGCATGTGGCACTGCGACCGCGCAGCCGACCTCGACGCCCTCCAAGAGACACAGGCCTAGTCATGATATTTCCTAAGATGCACGATCACGTTATCTAAGTGAGTCGCTTTTGAGCCAGTCGTTGTTTGAGCCAGTCGTTGTTTGAGTGAGTCTTTATTTGAGTGAGTTGTTTGAGCGGGTCTGAAAATGGAGGCTGGATGCTGTAACATGGTGGGACCCATTTTCCGCTGATAATTTATGGAAGCTTACTAATTTCGTACGGCTCTGGTCAAGCGGTGGTCATGAGCGCATGATCGGACCCAGTTAGATGTCGGTGCCTAGAAAATTGCTGCATATGCAGGAAGCTCACTTTGGAACTACAAATTCGTTGTAGCTAGAATGCTGCTGTCTGTGGCAAGCAAATGAACCCCTCCCCCTATCTATCATCTCAAAATCTCGTTGAACGCCCATTCTCAAAATTTCAACTTTATCAAATCTATCTCAATAACAAAAAGCTATACATGATATTGAAACTACTCAAGTATAGATTTCAAAATTGAAATTATAAATTCTTAAAATTTATTGGTTGAAGTAATGACACATTTATTTAAGTAAGGAGTTTTAAAAAAAAAGTTGATTTTGCTGGAGGGGGTATTTTGCTTGCACGTTTTTGTGACGGCACCGCTATATAAGATTACGCTGTATTGCTGAAGGCATTCTGGAATTCTGACCTTTTGTCAAGAAACAGCCCGTGGCTATATTGCAGCGGTCAAGGGGCTGTCTCAGGCTCTTGTTAGTCTATTAGATATCTACATGTTCCCTTTGCATGCCTGTTGCCAACAACAAGCAGAGCTCAGGGAGCCACCAATACCGGGCTTATACGAATACGATAAACGGCTCATCTGTTGGAGCGGCTTTATAACAGTTCCAAGTAGTAAACGGCTCATTTCTAGGAGCAGCTCAAAAAAAAAATTAAAAAACGGCTCCTTAAAATTAAAATGCAATTGGAATTCAAGAGTACCCTACATATAAAAAAGAACAAGGAAGCAATTCTAAGTGCGCTATACTAAATGCCGTACCCTTCCTGTGCTCTGCACCTTTCCCCCTCTGCACCCTCCATGCACCTTTCCCGCGCCCTGCACTATCTGTGCACGGTTCCTATTTTGAGCTGCTCCCAGAAATGAGCCGTTTACTACTTGGAACTGTTACAAAGCCGCTCCAACAGATGAGCTGTGCCCCAGTAGGAACCGTGCTGGCACGGTGCTGGCACGGCTCAAGTACAGTTCAAATACACCATAGACGGACGGTATTGACCCGTCTGACTCCGGTCACTATCACGCACGCGGGCAGCTCTGCGTCTTCAAAAAGTCGACGCGGACCTCCTTCTCCCCTCCTAGGACGAGGTCGAAGCTCGTGCTCCACCCGCTCGTCGCGAGCTGCCCCCGGCCCTGGAACAGGACGTAATTGCCCGCGCCAGCCTCGCCCACCGGTGCGAGCCCCACGGTCTCAACCTCGAGCCGGCGGTGGACGATGCCCTGGCGGCGCACGAGGCGCACGAGGTCCATCGGCAGCGGGTCCGCGGCGCGGTCCGCGCGGACCGCCGCCGTGACGGTGAAGGCGCGCTCGCCGGCGACGCTCGTCCGGTCCACGCACGACGCAGACGCCTGGTACAGCAGCGCGTCGTCCAGGGGGTAGTGCCCGCGGCCGCCGTTGCGGTGTATCGCCGTTGAGCCGGTCGACAGCGTTGTGAGGTGGATGAGGAACCCGCCGATGCCGCTCGCGGCGGGGACGGCCGCCTCGAACTGGTACCAGGCGAACGTCTCGCCCCAGAGGCCGTGCGTGGCGCCCCCGGCGTCGAGCGCCGCGGGGACGTCGACGGAGCCCAAGCCGTTGCGGTCCATGTAGGTCAGGTGGACGGCCAGGTCGCCCGTGTCGCGCCCGGTGCCGGCTGTCGTCCGGACACGCACCCAACCGCTGAACGCGATGCTCCCGTTCCCGCCATACGCCAGGTCGACGTACGGCTTGACGTCGACGGCCTCGATCGGCTCCGTCAGCCGCACTGCCGCAGGGACCGTGTCGATCATGCGCGTCAAGACGTCGGCGCAGACCGTCCTGAAGCCGTCGTTGGTGCGCCCGAGTTCCTGGATCGTACTGTTCCCGTCCGACGCGAAGATGCGCCTGTCCGAGTTGAGCGTCTCGTTCCGCCCGGCGACGAGCGGGTTCGTCGTGTTGCCGCGCAGATACTCGGCCGCGATGCGGTTGTCGAAGCTGTCAAACGTGCTGTCAAACTTGGTCACCGTGTCGGGCGTCGGGTCGAGCCCCGTGATGTGCGGGTTGTTCCTGCTGTGCACGCCGCCGAGCGTGTGGCCGCACGCCACCAGCGAGATCATGTCGGGCACGCTGAACCCGGCATCGGCGAGCCTGGCCCGGGTTGTCTCGAGCGGCGTGCCGGGCTCCGGCACCCCCGCGGGGCCGGCCTCGAGGGCATCAACGCGGCCCGCGCGGAACGGCATCCACGCGCCGCCGCAGCCCGCGTTGGCGACGATGACGCTCATGGCTAGCAGGTCTGCTGCTGAGGCCCGGATGGAGTACAGATTGGCGAAGAAGCTGAAGGTGTTGTTGAAGGCCGAGCCACCATTCTCGGCGCGGTCGAGCTCGAACCAGATGGAGCCGTCCAGACCGCCTGTGCCGGCGGCCACGTCCGCGGTCGCGACGTCGTGGAAGGCGGTGCGGATCCATTCTGCGGCGAACTGGCGGCCGGCAATGTTGCCGCCGAAAGAGCACGGGGTCACGCCTGGTTGGCTTGCGTCAGTCTGGGGGTATCTGTCACCGGCGGGAACCCAATAGCTCAAGGTCGTTGCTAACCTTCGACGAACCCCCTGCTGCGGTATCCCGTCTGCAAGTAGAGAATGTCTTCGATTTCATCGTACTGGGAGGGCCATACGTACGCCGCCTCTGTGGCTTGTGCCAACGCGGCGATGCCGGTGATGATGGCGACAGCTCCTTTCTTCATCCCGCCTGGTAGGTTGGGAATCTTCCGAGTGAGGCAACAGAGTCGTATCAGCGACGGGTTGAATGTAGCGAGAGGAAAAGAGAGGTTGTAACCCGTCCGGCCGAACCTCAATCTGCGCAGGCATGGGTGGCTGTCGCCGTCTCTTCGATTCGCATCACCGCATTGGGCCCTATTTCCACCGTTCAGGGTGAGAGGAGACTATTGACTCCATCGCGTGCGGAGCGATACCCTTCTTTCAGGGGGGTAGCTGAATACTTGAGAACAGAAGGGAGCTCCAGTATCGCCAAGCCGTCAAGACGGATCCGCGGCATCGGGTCCCTGGCCCAATGCAGCAGGCCTGCCCGGCTCGTCGGTGTCTTCCGTTCCGCTTGCCCTCTTTGCATTCCGCACCGCTGTCAGGTTTGCAGCCTAGACTTGTGGATGAAAGAAGCTAAGGTGATTGCTATACGTAGCTTGAAAGACTTGGCCGAATTGGTTCCAACCTTGGTAACTGCAGTTCGTTCTTTGCCCGTTTTCGAGTCGGAAGAAAAGACCTTGATCCTTGACGGCGGGACAAAAATGAGGATGGGCCCGGTGCGGAATGGCCAACTGGGCTCGTTATCAGATGCGGAACGGACGAGGAGAGAGGGAGAAAGAGAGAAAGTTATCTGATGAAGCAGGGATTGGCAATGTTAAAATGTCTCTGCTAGACTTGTGGAGAGAGACGGCTGTGTAAGTGGAGGGCTAAGGAATGAATGACAAATTCGGCCTGGCCTTGTGGAATCAATTGGTCAACACGGACATCGTTCATCTCGTATCTCCCACAAGGATATTCCCAATGCTTTGTAAAAAGGTCAAAATAGAATAGGGACAAAGACAATAGAGGTGTTGTTGCCAATGTAGCAGCTCTAGTCATGAAGTTGATGATAGATGAACAGGTTTTCTCTGCAAACTTTCAGGAGCAGGGCCCTGAGTACCCACCAGGAAAAACCCTTAGACCTCCGAGATCGCAGATCACCCTCTGACAAGTGCCTTGAAGCCGTTGATTTGTAATCGTGATAATTATCAGGTAAGGAAAGGTTCCGGCGTTATGCTTTTTGATTAGAAACTTCTCTATCCTTAAACTAACCCAATGCATAACGCAAAGCTTACAAGTGCGACTATATCATAGGCAATATTGAATAGCATGTGTTAATGGCAGTGCATTATGCTAAAAAAAGAGAGAAAAGAAATGTATTTTTTAGTAGAATGCAATTAGCAGTGACAGCTTATTCAAAAGTGAACGTGTTAATATCTTACAGAATAAGTCGCAGTGATGAAGGTTCGGGTGCCTTATACGGTACGTCGCTCACTAATCAATCCCCTATTCAAGATTTGGTCTTAGAATTGGCGTTAAGATTTCTTGCTTAGTCATGCACGTACCTCAAACAGATTTCCTATACTATATATTAAAACCTTTCTACCCAACCTTAGTAGCCTGCATGGGAAAATAAGTTAAGAGGCTCGAATCAAATAATAGTAGCAGGTCTGGCTAGATCTACCCATTGCTACCACGCTAAATCAAAACGAAGGTGTCTAAATCTTCTCGATGGTTGGAAAGAAATTCTTCCTCATGATCGTCTGTGAGTTTCTTCGAAGAGTCCACGGGCACTCTCAAGCCTTCTTTGACAAACTTATATCTTCCCCCGTGCGAGGGCCGGATCAAAGCACATGTCCCAACAAAGACGACGATTACGTCTCCGTCCCTTGCGTTGAGCGGAAATTGCCAGTTCCAAAAATCAACTTCAAAATCTTGGTAACCATCATCACTGTCAGTTTGAATCTGATCTGGCGCCATTCGTTGTTCAATAGGCTCGTTTCGTTCGCCACCAATTTCTGCATCGTCTAAACCTGCTCCATCGGCAGCCGCAGGCCGCTCATCAGGGCAGCCTTCATGTAAAGCCCTGACTGGCTTCTGCCATGTGGAACACGTTTCAAATTCCTGCCCAAGAGGGCACGGCAATGCCACCCAGGTCCGTGACGGGTGCCCCTCGGAGTCGACAGCCAGGCGGCCCAGTGCCTTTCCACGAAGCTTAAGAGTGTCAGGCTCCGTCACATCCTGTTCAGCCCACCGCCAAAATTTCCGCCGGAGATCCCGCGCCTTTTGCGAGCTGCCGACTCTGTCGATATACCGATCCATTTGGCCCTCGTTGAACTCAAGCAATTTGAGCCAACTGGGGGGCGAAGAGTCAGCTGTACACATGGAGAAAAGATCAAGCTTAGTTCCCCGGTCCTCCGTGCTACTATAAGTTTCGTTGCCTCCGATGAACGAAGATAACCGCTGGATAGTCACGTAGAAGTGACCAACCTCGTTCATGCGGATCTTTAAAGCACGCAGCACTGCGGCCTGGAATCCCACAGAGTAGTCCACTGGCAGCTGTTGCGGAGAACTGGCCGTCTTTTTATTAAACGTCAATCCCCACGAAGCACTTGAGATGGCGTCCGCCATCGCCGTCAGCGAGTACACCCGGTCGGCGGCAATTGAGACTTCGAAGCCCCGGGACACCGTCTCCACGAGAAACACGAGAAGAAGCTCCGTCTGTGTGCACCTTGCTTGTACGCGGCGGGTAGGGTCATGTACAAGAAGCCTCAGTTCGTGAAGAATTTGGGTAAAGGGAGATGATTCTCTGAACAAAGCTGGCCCGTCATCCCCTACATGTATTCTGTGGCCAAACATCGCAAGAATATCAGTATGACGAGCTTTCTTAAAACGCTCCAGAACCGTCGGGTCCTCCTGTCCCGCCAGAAGAACAGACCGAGTGTGCCAAATCATCCTACCAACGTGCGGGGCCACATGGAAGAACGCATCGTACGATATGACCGACCGCCCGCAGTGAAACTTGACATTAGATGCGGCCGCAATCTCCTGGATGATCCAGGTCCGTCTTACCCAAGCGCGTCCCCAGAGGTCAGCAATCCCGCCCAAGGCCAAAGATAAGCGTCCCAATGTGTCGGCATCCGCCCTTTCGTCGTCCGATAATCGGCTGTCTCCGAGGTCGTTAATGATATCGTCCACATATATACCGCTGTATTTCCTCCTCTCCAAAAAGTGCCTCATCGCGATAACAAAATCGTATTGCCTATCGTCCTGCCAAAATGTGTCGTAAATGTTGAGGATGTCGGCACCTAAACAGGTGCCCGGGCCAGCAGAGCCCAGCCACACGAGGACGGAGCTTGCTTTACGATAGATGTGGAACATGTTGCGAACTTGGCGTTCCTTTTCAGCCTCATCGTACTGATTTATGCATAAAGCATCGATCCAGCTACTATTATTAGAAGCCAAATCTGGTGACCGGACGGATGATGTTGTGGGGCACTCTCTTGGTGCGTGCAAGATAAAGCACGGTTCATTGGGGAAGGCGGCTGATTACTTACAGCCAGCGGTGGATGTGAGAGCTCCGCAGGTGCACGAGCGCCGCATGCAGATTGGCTGTGACACTGAAATCGAGGCCGTTGCACCGGATGGCGTGGCTAAAGATAGACGAGTCCCACGTGTAGGAGAGAGCCTCATAGAAGACGACCTCTCCGGTGTCCACGAGGCCCAAGCCCTCCAGGTGCGGGATGACGGCAGTCTCCAAGTGCACCTCAACAATGTCTCCTTCACCGTGCTCGCGATGAGCAGGCTCCAGACGGAGAGCTCGGGTTTCCCATGGCTTGAGGGGCTGACTGTAGATGCTGGAGGCTGTAAGACGTCTTTGTGATTCGGAGACGCTTTTGACGGACATGCTTCTTCCTCTAAAAATTCAGCAAGACCTGGGTTATGGTGACCGAGAGCGGAAGGGCAAGCCGGAAGAGCTTAGTGAACTATCTAGAGGATCCCTCAAGCGGATGGCGCGATGTTGTATGCCTCCAAGCATTGCAGAGTCTTCTTTCCCGCTCCCCAGGTTTAAAATTCTCCATTTTTAAGCGCCCTGTCACGGAGTTGAGGGCGGATTGGCTCTGTATGTGTGTCTGGTTCCACAAGCATGGGCAAATTCCACTTTTCGGTGTTCACTTATCCTGGTTCGTATGGGTCATATGTGCCTTATGAGGCCGAAACATGCATCAGTTTATGTGCATTTGAAGAGTAGATTGGACTGTAAAAAAGGGAGAGAAAGAAAAGTTATGGAAAAGCGAGCGGGCTTCAACGATGATCGGGTTTTGTCATGGTCGTAGGAAGGTCGTCTCTCGGAACCGAGATCGGCGGGCTTGGCTCGCCTCGCGACGACGGCCGAAGTGCGCGCAAGAGGCCCGTGCAGACCGACCGGGCACTCCGGGGAAGCAGAGATAAGCGAGCAGCCTACGGGTCGATAAGGAACGGTTGACGGTTGACGACGTTTAACGCGAAGCCAAACTGACGTCACCGGTCGCTCATGGCGTTTGCGCGTTCCTTGCTCGCTGGAACGGGCGGAACGACCAAGCAAAACTCAATTGACCTCATCGTTCCGAGGTCCTCGCTGCCAAACCAGTGACGACTTTGTCGCGAGAGATCTGGACCTTTTCGTACTTATTGACGTGCCTGCTACCTCGTTCGAATTGCTCCCACGCAGACACATCCCATACCGCCAGTACAACTTCACGTACACTGCTTGACTCGCCCAAGTTGTCCACCCATAGACTCATCTCCACTCAACCTCGATAAAGACATCTAGATTTCACCAGCTCATTGAAGTGACAACGCATCGCGATAGAAAGGGGCAGCCGGCGTTGAACTCGATACCCATTTGATTGTTCTCAATTACTCTCCTACACTTGTTACTTGTTCGCAAACATCTTACCATCGTCGACTCGTGGGCCTCTCTACGATCTCGGAAGCTCCGGAGCAGCATCTCTGGCAACCGTGCCAACTTTGACGTCGAGGAACCAACGTTTCACAGGCCTTCAACCTCTAGATCACCATGTCCAAACAAGAAGAGCAACAGTTGCCCAATTACGGCCCAATTGATTATGTCAAGTTCTTTGGTGCTGGTGCCCTTGCGGCGACCCTAACACATGGCGTATGTTCTCCTGTAAAATCCACTACACCCATAGCACCATGAGCTGACAATCTTTCCAGGCCGCAACGCCCATCGATGTCGTCAAGACAAGAATACAAGTCGACGACGCGATGAAGGGCCTGAACATGGTCAAGGCGGGGCGGACCATCGTTGCCAACGAAGGCGCTGCAGCGCTCCTCACAGGATTTGGGCCCACAGCCGTTGGGTACCTGATACAAGGTGGAGGAAAGTTCGCAGGCTACGAGTTCTTCAAAAAGAAGTTCATTGAGCTGAGCGGGTCCACCGAGAAGGCAACCGAGCGCCGAACCGCCATCTACCTGGGCGCGTCCGCCACCGCAGAGTTCTTCGCCGACATTGCCCTGTCACCGCTGGAGGCGACTCGCATCCGTCTTGTGAGCCAGAGAGGCTACGCGAGCGGCCTGGCCACAGGCTTCATGCGGATGGCGCGGGAGGAGGGCCTCAGGGGATTCTACTCGGGCTTCGTGCCGCTGCTGTTCAAGCAGGTGCCGTACGCGGTGGGCCAGTTCTCCGTGCACGAGGCCGCCAACGAGATGATCTACCGCGCCATGGGCCCCGAGAGGAAGGCAAAGCTCACGCAGCTCCAGTCCACCGGCGTGGAGCTGACCTCGGGCGTCGTCGCTGGTGTTGCCGCGGCCGTCCTGTCCCACCCCGCCGACACGCTGCTGTCGGCTATTAACAAGGGCGCGGGCGACAAGTCCCAGAGTACTACTGCCAGGATGTTCACCCTGGCGCGTGAGTTTGGACCTAAGAGGCTGTTGACTACGGGGCTAGGCCCCCGTGTGGTCATGACTTGTGGCCTGGTCGCCGGCCAGTTTGTGATTTATGCGCAGTGCAAGACGCTTGTTGGTGCTCCACCTGGAATTGAGATTCACAAAGAGGAGTCGTTGGCGTAAGGGAAAAGTGGATTCTTTTCGGCGTTTCGCAGAGTGGAAATATACAGCATAGATGGCGCTTAAGGGTGCAAGGGGGGCACGGCGTCTATAGTAGCTAATCTTCGAGTCATTTTCCAGCCAACATTGCTTGCATCAGGGTTGCGTCGTGATATCTCTTGTAGCATTTTCGCGCCAATGTAACAACCAGCAGTGGAGTGCCCCGCTCCTGGAGCCTGGCCAAGTCCGCGGTTATACTAGTACGCTGTATGCAGGGGACCAACATGTATGGATGCTCATCCACTGACGGTGGCTCACTTACCCCTCTTGCGGCGCCTCAGGCATCGCAAGGTTTTGAGATATCGAATTTTTGAGACCCTCGAGACGACATATCGATTTGTCTTTTGCCTATTTATTTCGTCATCCCTCATTCGCATCCTGGGTCTCACTTCTTTACAACTCCTTCGCATCCAACAGCTTTATCTCTCTCGATCACTAAACTGCTATTTTCTAGTGGAAACGCTCCTCAGAAAACTGTTGAATCTTTACTCAAGCCCCAGTAAGTGTGTGCTCAATTGTGTCCTCGCAGCCAACTCATCCCAACGGTTGTCTGTCTCATTTATCTATGGAGTTTATGCCACAGCCTGCGCTAATTCAATCACGTACACAGGATCATTATGGCCATGGAAAATACCGTCGACATGCCAGGACTGACTCTTGAGGAGTCGGATAGGATGCACAACGATGAGCAGAACGACTTCCAAGAACCGGAACAACAGTTCGAAATCAATGCTATTGAAACAGACGAGGGCTTGGATTTGAGGGAGTCTTTCGATTCAGACGACAGTCTTGGATCAGATGGAACACCCGAAAGAGACGAGGATGTCGAAACAGATGAAAAGGTCATCCCGGTCGCAAGCCTTACCGTGAATGAGGAACAAGACCAGGAGAATGATAGCCTGCAAGCTGAGAATGATGCCTTGCACGCACAGGAGCAACAGGCACAGGAGCAAAATGCGCAGAAGCAAGAGCTCGAGCAAGTGGAAGAAGAAAACACTGCGGTCGGAAATTCCAATGAAATCAAAACCACTCCAAAGAAGTCGAAGTGGCTTGCCCAGTGGTTTCAATGGCAGGAGGATCTGTATTGATGGTGCGTTATACAAAATCATTGTTCTACCCACTTTACTGACCGCTCTTCCAGCAACAAGATGTATTTGTCTCTAATATTTACACATGCCATCCCTAGAAGATAATTTGATAGCATTAAACAATTTGTTAAACCCGATTTAGGCTTGCATCGTCTTACCCGGTTCGAGACATGAGGTCATCGGTGTATCGACGTAGCCTCGTCAGTGCTTTCCTTAGATAATGCGGCGAGCAAAATTTCCGGTCCCTTTTCATACCTGCTTCAAGGGTTGCAGTATCTGATTCGCAGCCAGCATTTCGTATCTCTGGATGCACCAGTGGCTATGCATCCCGTTCCTCATAGCGGGGCGAACTGCAGTCGATGCACCTTATGCAGCTGACCGCAGCTTGCACTCACGCTCCCCACGTTACACGACAGAAGGCCATAGGCTGGGAGAGCCTGTACCTCATTGTCACATGGATATCTTTTGGACTGTGGTGCATGTGCGTCTCGTAATAATGTGGCTAAACCAGCTCCAAACACGATCACCAGAGGCCTCCATCTGCTCATGTAGCCTACACATCAAAGCCAAAGTGACCAGCCCGTCAAAGTACGATGCCCTGTCATATCGCTGGGAAGGTGGAGAGACGCAGACAGTGGAAGTCAACGGGGCCGACCTTCACGTTACAGACAACCTATACGCAGCCCTTCTGAGCCTACGGAGGGAGTCTCACCCTCTTCCCAAAGTCCTCTGGGTCGACAGCATCTGCATCAACCAGGACTCCGGCCAGGAGCGCGGGGAGCAGGTTCCGCTGATGGGTGAGATCTACTCCAAAGCACACGCTGTGCGGATTTGGCTGGGCGAGGAATGCGCAGGGGTGGATGAGGCTTTCAAGCTGGTGCGAGACTGCGGCGCAGGCACGCCGGAGGAGGTCGTGAGCAGGGTGCTGGGCGACGAGGAGGGGACCAGGGGTCTCACGAAAGTCCTGCATCGGTCCTACTGGGGCCGCATGTGGATGTTCCAGGAGATCGTCCTAGCGACCAACGCTATGGTTCACTGTGGCAGCCACGATGCGCCCTGGGACTACTTCAAATGGCTTCATACTATCACGGCGGAACGGGCTTTCTGGTCCGAATTTGAGGTCGAGCACACGTGGATCGGCGACCTCCGCCAAGCACTATTTCAGATCTCGCATTTCACAATTCCTAGAGACGACGCTCACGACATCAACGCCGTCTCTATACCAACAAGGCGACTACAATGCACGGACGCGAGAGATAAAATTTACGGTCTCATGGGGGTCTGCAAGGAGCTGGCCAAGACGGTCAGAGTAGACTACGCAGCCCCTGTGCGAGATGTATACACGGAATTTGCGAAAAGTCGAATTGAGTCGGACGGCGAGCTTTACACGCTCCTCACGGCTGGATTGTGGACCCCGGCCAACGGCGAGGATCTAGGAATCCCGTCCTGGGTTCCTGACCTGCGTGGTACGGCTGGAGTCGACACCCGCTACTTGGGCAGTGCTTATCTTGAGACGTGCAATGCAGACGGCGCTGGCGGCTCACGTCCGTTCTTTGCGTTCTCGGCGTGCGATGAGAACACAATCCTCGAGGTGGAGGCTTTGATCCTCGATTCTGTTCAAGCTCACCAAAGACTCAAGAACGAGGATGAGCAAAGCCGTAAAACTCTCATTGATAATTTTTGCCTCGGAGCAGATGGGCAGGAGTTCTCTGCACCGAAACTGAGGCACTTTTTCCGGGCCATCGTTCTCGAGAACTCAACATTTTCCGCAGGCATAAGGGTGCTTGACAAGGCACAGAGAAAATCCCTACAGAGGCTGGCGCTCGGATTTTTCGAAGACTTGCAGCATCTCTATGGGCCTCAACAAGCTTTTATCGGATTCTTGGAGACTTTCCGAGATGTTGGCCTCGAGCTGTTAGACGATCATGCCTCCCAACTTTCGCCAGAATTTGGCCCGGAGGAACTCCGTCGTGATGAGCTGGAATACCTGTATAAGACAAAGTCGCACGAGGGAAGCCAAGGATCGACAATATTCTCCACTGTCGACGGTTATATCGGCATTGGCCGTTATCCCCTTGAGCAAGGAGATGTGGTAGCAATCGTGAGGGGGTGTCGAATGCCATTGGTTTTGCGTCAGCAGGATGATTATTTCAGGCTTGTTGGTCCTTCTTACGTCTCTGGTATCATGCAGGGAGAGGCTGTCTCCGGTTCAAGCCACATGACAAGCGATTCATTCAGACAGATTAAGATGGTATAGGATAGCTTGCTAAAGACCAACGTAATGACAATAGGAAGGCGAGAAGATTCTTGGGATTTCTTCCATCGTTGAATCGCCAATATACTCGACTTTCCAAACACTGCATCGGAAGGCTTAATTTCACCGCGGCCTGCACAGGTATGCCCGGGACGCAGCATATTACCACAATTCGCAGTGCTTTGGTTATCCCTATACCATTCTCAAGGATCGCGGTCAGATCGGAGGAGCTTGGACGCTCGTCAGTTATCCGGGATTCGGGCCCGGCGCCAAGCTTGACTGCAAAGGCTTCTGGTGGCACATATGGCTCCACGAGGAGATCGTCGCTGTAGGCCACGACATTGTTCTCTACTTGGAATCGGTGGCGAGATGTCGGCGCGCTCATGGGACCGCATTCAAACTCGGACAAGTCTTACACACTTTGCTTTGTGCATTCTGATAGTTCATCTCCTGTGGGATCTGGCTGTGGTCGCTTCGTCGCATCTGTCTTGCTATTCGCGTATGAGCAAATCGTGTGTATGGTAATTAACACCGTCAGGCTCTCTACAGCTGATCAAGCTTTGAGTTAAGTCTGTTAATTTTATACTTATTTGAATGATATCATACTGTCACTGAAGATTGACTGTCTCAATGCAAAGCCAGAGCTGTGCGCCTTGAGTTGCATAGTGGACATGCATCTTTTTGCAGTAAACGAGGCAGGTCATCTCGGCAGAAAATGCTTTCAGAACCACCGCAAAAGCAAGAGGAGCGAGAAAAAGACTATCAAGACTGCCAACGACTGTGACTGCAGGCGGGCAGACAACCAGGCCCAAGTTGTCTTCCGTCTTTGGGCGCCAGCCCTGGTCCACGTCGAATTTGCACCATCACTTGGCAGACACTTGTACTGAATTGGATGATATAGCCGGTATTAAGAACTAAAAGGGCTTTAAAAGAGCACAGAGTTATATGAAATGTTGCGATCAATCATCTCAGCGATCTATAGAGACTCGTTCTGCAGCAACATTGTCAAGCCCGTTCTTAGAGCCTCCAATGCCCCTTTGCTCGGTTCGCCTTCACCCAAAGAGTGGCATAGCTCCATGTAAAGAAGATCCTTATCGCTGCAAGGAACCTTGACAAGCCCGGCTATCTCCTGGACGATTTTCCTCAGGATCATACTCCTGTCCTTTTGGTTGCTAGCTGCGGTATGAAGGATCTCAGTTATGAGTGTAGCGCTTGTGTGATACGTTCGGCTATCTCCTTGGATCTTTTGCTCGCCCAAGGTATCTCGTATAGCGTTTTGATAGACCTTACGATAATGGGCCAGCGTCTGTGGAAAATACCCTCCCATTGCGGGATCCTCGAGAACTCCGTCAGACCCGTATTCGTACATACCTGGATCCCAGTCTCGAATCAACCAGCCGGGGTATCTAAGATTGCCTAAAGACCTGGGCCAGGCGCCGACGCCGTCCCAGTCGATAATGCCAACAAGGTCCCCCTGTGGCGAGACAAGGAAGTTCTGGAGGTCAAAATCCGGATGGGTGAGTTCAAAGGAGTGAGCATCGGCCGCGAAAAAGTCGTCTACGCAGACGACAAAGAACTGCAGGAGTCGTCTCTGGCCAAGAAGAAATTCCGACGAGTCAAGGTTCTGCCTGTCGAGTGCATTGGTATAAAACTCTCTGGCTGTCTTGTAAGGCCCGCTTGGGAAGTAGACAGGCATGTAGTCGGGATTGTCCTGCTCCAGGCGCTGGGCAAATGCGTCAATGTCCAGCTCACGGTGGCGACCAACACCAAGCGGTCGACCATCGCTAAACGTCAGGCGGCCGCCCTCTCTGAACGAGAACTGACTGAGCTGAACCATGGCTGACGCCACGTCCTTGAGAACGTGGGTCCGGCGGCGGTGGTAATCCTCTTCGGACATGCCCGGGCACTCGACAAACCAGAAGTCGTACAAGGAGATCCCGGGTATGAACGAAAGCCACATGTGCGGACAGCGGAGAGGGTTGTCGGCGGTTTTGCAGAACCCCAAGACGTCGGGGATGGGAATCGTGGTGTGCTCCCGGATGAGCTGCATCGTCCGGGCTTCTGATTCCAGCTCGTCGGCGCATAGGGTGTTCCAATGCCCAGGTGTCCCGTTGATAGGGATTTTAAGAAGCCATGCTATTCCTCGATCTCTAAATTCGACTGGGAATAGGATATTGAAGGACCCATGGAGTGGCGCTTCGACAACGGGTGGGCGCGCCAGACGGTCTCTGGGATGTTTGCTGTCCCAGATCTTGGTGGCCATTCCAGGAACCGAATCCAATCCAAGGACAGCAAGAACTGGAAGAAAGGACGCCAGCTCATCCTCTTCGGCGTCAGCGAGAGATGGGTTATTCTCGGGCATGTTGAAATACTGGTTGTGCGAGGCAGAAAGCGTGGAAGCTAGTTACTTATTCTCGATGAGGAAAGGCTGTGAGCGGAAATGCAGTGAAGAATCGAGTGGTGGAAATGTATACTTCTTTCTTTTTTCGTACCGTTGTTGAACAACAGCGAAACTAATCGATTCTTATAATGGCGTTCCAGACGTTGTCGCTCCTATTAGCGTGGAAGGATTGGACGAATGCAAGTCTAGCGAGCCCAACCCGCAGGCGCAGGTCAGGCCTGGTGGCGGATCCGCTGATGACCCATATAATAAAGCCAGCCCCATCTGAGTTACGTTACTCAATTAATTCGACCTAACCACCACGTCAACTATCACCACTGTAGCCACCTACATCTATACTTATCGAAGTGCTGTATCTATTCCAGAGCTGTTTGGTTATCTGTCCAGCCATCTGGCCAAGTTATGATAGCCCACGTACAATCGAGGTTGGTCTCCGTGTACTAAGACGAGAGAGGTGGACTTTGCCCTACAGGATCAAGTACAGTTTATGGTCTGGACTTTTGAGAGCGCTGACTTCAGCTCCCCCCCCCCTGCCTAAGTTCCCTACTCGCTTTCGTCTCCATCTATGGAAGCTCCCCGACCGGGTTATGAAGAAGAAGGAAAAACCCCTCTCCACTACTGTTCTCAGTCCACCCAGCTCCGGAGCTGGGAATCTCACTCCCGGTGGCCAGTACGCTCCGAGGGTGAGAAGCCCGGATAAAGCTCTTCCAAATTGTCTTCAACGCGGATTCCGTCGTCATAGCATGGCGGGTTCATGTCGTCAGTGAAGTACGGACGCGGGCCCTCGTCGACCTCCTGTATCCACGCAATCTCGCGGGCAACCCTCGCATCCAGGGGCGGCTTCCTGTCCACCTGGTACCTGTCGTCGTCTCCTAGCTTGGCAACCGCGTGGATGGGCCGCGCGGCCGTCTCGTCTATCTCCCTGCGGAACGCGGGCGTGCAGCAGTCGAGAAACACGTCGAAACAAACGAGCATGCGGTCGCGGCGGCGGAGCTGTGTGGCGTACAGCTGTGCCTGCGCGCTGGCAGCCTTGCAGGTGTTTGTGGGTGGTGATGATGAGCCTGAGGGTGTGGCCGTTGCGTGGCCAAGCTGGCCAACGAGAGCAGCGGTGAACTCGTCGGCCAGATTCCTAGCCAGGGCAAACGCCGTCGACGAGTGCCGGGACGCGGGCTGGTACTTGACATCGGCAAGGCATCGTATCGTGCCGTCCGCCTTCAAAGCAGCCAAAGTTGCAGGCAAAACGTTTAGTTGCATCTTGGTTTTCTATTTATTCTGCGCGAGTTGGGTAAGTATGGAGGTGAATTCCACCAATGCAGGGTTGGGCTAGCCGTCCCAGGATATTTAAACACATAACCCCTGCACCCCGCCAAGCATATTTTTGTCTACCTAATAAGCACATTAATATACTCAACATTCGTATTTTGTAATGTCAGAACAGCAACGCGGGCGAGACATAAACGGGCTTCTAAGTATTTTAAGATTAAGGAATCAAGTTGGTAGCAGGCAGTGTGGGGCTGTGCAGAGTGCTTTCAATTCAAGCTTGTTAGCTTTATTTAAGGTGCTTGTTAGCTAAGTACTTAGCCTATCTACGCTGCCACTTGTTAGTTCCATTGCCGCTCTCTGGGGCCCAACATCTTCCTGCAGGAGCGCTTAGAGCCCGAGGTTAGGCATCTAACTTGGTTTAAACCAGTTAACTCAGGCCAGGCCATTAGCAATTAGTTCTCATGCCAGTCTTATTCCCATTATAATTAAGGTTAAAGACCTTACAAGCTGCAAAGAATACAAGGTACTTAGCAGCGTAGATTACCTAGCTACTATTAAATCAAAACCTTATAAGTGGCAAGTAGGCGCATAATATACAAAGGCTTAGACTTATACTTAAGTAATTATATTAGCTGAAATACCTAGCGCAATAGCCGGTAGTTGCAGTCCTTTGCGTTTTGTTGCAAGAGCTAAAACGGCTTAGGCACTAAAGATTAGGAGCAGATTTATTGGAAAAGCAGGTTAAATAGGTAAATAGGTATTTTTAGAAGTTGGCGGATATAGCATATAGCTAGTAGGAAGGCGAACTAAGGCGCTGTAGTTATAATAAACTCGTCAAAGGCTTAAACTATTTAATTAAGACAAGATAAACTGGGTATAAAGGCATCCATTTACCTTCCATCACTAATTCTAATACTACCCCAAACCACACAGTACACTCAACAAATACAACTCCCTTCCATCTATTCTCTAGCCTTCCTACAGTACTATTAAACCTAACCGCTATATATAACTTTCACATTAGGGAATGCCCGGATTGCAGTTGCAAGACTAAGCGGTACACCGTCCGTTGCCAATCCAGACGCTAAAGCCAGTATCACCCAAACCAACCACCCCATATATAAGGTAATAGGAATTAGCAGCGCCTTATTTCCCATAACACTAAACAGTGCCAATACTGCGCATCCAACTCAGAAGCTGATAGCTCAACTTCATCTTATAAAACAGTACATGCCAACCTACATCCTATAATGGTTTTTAAGAGGCTATAGCTACTGGAAAATATCTCATGCTTGAATTAGCCATTATACGCTAACAGCTATTTTCTTAAAACTAACTAAAGTATAAGCACTTCAAGCATTACATTACTTATTTAGTTAATTTACATTGATAGCAAGGGTTTAAAAAAAGCTAAACATAAGTATTAACGCTTATTATAAAAAGCTTTTTTATAAGTAATAAACTAGTAATTTAAATTAGTTCAAACTACTTTATAGCAACTTAATTTATATATTTATATATATACTTACTTTTATATTAAAAAATATATTTATTATTTTACTTTTTGAAAATACTAATTATTATTTTACATTAATAAAGAAATTAAAAGAATATAAATAAATAATATATTTACTTATTTTTAAACGCTTAACTTTATATTACGTAATTTTCTATTTAAATATAAAGCATACTAGCTAAAACAGTTCCTATATCGTTATAGTATAAAAGCTTAATTTAGCTATAAAAATATATTAATTTCTGTTAAAGTTTACTTAGTAAAAAGAAAGGTAAGAACAGCATCACTGTACGCACGCCCTAAAAGCTATTTATAGTATAGTAGTAAGCTAATAAAATAAGCTTATTAATAAAAGCTTTATAAGTTTTAGCTAGTATTTAGCTATATATTCTTATACTAGCTTTATATAATAATAAGTGTTTTTATTTAAATAAATATTAAATATTTTAATTAAAAATAAATATTAAGATTATTATTATAAAATATATTATTATATATATTATTTATATTTTTTAAACTTTTTTATTAAATTAAAATAATAATAAACTTTTTAATAAATAAAATAATATATATATTATAATATAAAATATAAATATATTAATTAAAATATATTTTAAATATTAATTTAAATTTTATAAAAATTAATAAAATAATATTAATATTTTAAAATTAGTTTTATTTAATTATTTTTAAAATATTTTTTTAATAAATATTATATACATTAATATTTAAATTTTAAATTTTAAAATATATATATTAAAAAATAATTAATTTTTATTATTTTATTAATATAATAATAATTAAAAGTATTAATATTTAAATAAAATTATAATAATATTAAATTATATTTTTAATTATAAAAAAAGCTTATTATATTTATTAAATTATTATAATATTTTATAAATTTTTTTATAAAATTTAATTATTTTAATAAAAAAACTTTAAATTAAATATTAAATTTTATATTATTAATAAAATATTAAAATATTTATATATTTTATAATATTATTAATATTTTTTAATAATTTTATATATATATATTTATAATATTTCTTTTATATATTATAATTATAATAAAAATATAATTAATTATATTATTAATTAATAAAATTTAATTATTTATATATAATATAATAATTTAATTTTTTATAAATTATAATTATTTATTATTAATTAAAATTAATTATAAATATATAAAAATATATATTTAATAAAAAGTTTAATTAAATTAAATAATAAATTTTATATATTTTTAATATTTAAATTATAAATTTTAATAAATAAAAAGATTTAATAATTTTATTTTAAAATATATAATAAAAATAATATTAATAATTTATATTTATAATTTATATTTTTAATATATAATAAAATTTAATTTTTAAAATAAAATAATTAAATTTTAATTATATTTAAATTTATTAAAATTTAAATATAAAAATAAATAAAATTATAAAATTAAAATTAATAATTTTTATTTTAAATTATTATTTTTAAATATTTTATAAAAATAAATATTTAAATTTTTTAAAATTTATAATATTTTATTAATATTAATAAGTTTTTTTTAAATTTTTAAAATCTTTATAAAATAAAAATTAAATATAAATAATATTTTTAATTATTATTAATAATATTAATATTATTTTTAAATATATTAAAATAATAGTATATATAATATATATTAAATAAATTAGCTTTATTAATAATATTTATTAATTAATATTAATTAATTATTAATTATAATTTAATTTATTTATAGCTAAATATATATAAGTTATAGCTTTTAATTATAATTTTAATATATTTAGCTATAAATAAATTAAATTATAATTAATAATTAGCTAATATTAATTAATAAATATTATTAATAAAGTTAGTTTATTTAATATATATTATATATATTATTATTTTAATAATATAATAAATAATATTATTTAAAAAATAAAATAAATTTTAAAAAGTTTTATATTATTATATTTTAATATATTTAATTTTTTAAATATAAAAAAATTATTTTTATTATATTTTATATAAATATATTTAAATTATTATATAATTATATTAAATATAATTTCTTAATTATTTTTATATTAATTTTAAATATTATAATTAAATTAATAAAATTAAATATTTTATTAATTATATAAAATTTAAAATATATTTTTATTTATTTTATTTTTTAATATTAATTATTTTATTTATAATTATAATTTTTAAAATAATATATTTAAAATTAAAAAGTTTTAAAAATTATATTTAAATTTAAATAAATTTTATATACTTTACTTTATATATTTTAATATTTTATTTTTTATAAAATTTAGTTATATTTACTTTATTATATTTATTTTATTATTTATATATAAATAAATTATATATATAATAATTAATATAGTTAAGCTTTTTATAGCTAATTAAGCTTTAAATAAAGTTTATTAATTTTATATTTATTTAAATAATATTATACTATTACTAAAGCTTAACTGTTTTGATGTAAAGCTATAGCTGTACGCCTTACATTACATGATGGATATGCATCTTCTTGCATGTCATTGGGGCACGGGCGGCGGTTAACGCACATCTGCTGCATGCGGCAGATCTCATCCACATCCCCTACGTTACATGGCGGGAGACGATAGGCTCAAATACCTGCATCATAATGTCAGCTGCACATCTCTGGGGCTGTGGTGCATGTGTCTTACATACAATTGTGGCTGAATCAGCTGTAGGCACATTGACGAGAGGCCTCCATCACTTTGTATAATTAGACTGCATGCCCCTTTTCTATATGTTACACACTGAAATCGCCCCTTCTCTCCTTGGTAGTTGGCTGGGGGCTTTTTTCACGTGCCTGAGGACTATTTTACTCCAAGTCTATCTTCAACACTGGATGCCACATGTGTTACCAAGTCCTAGAGCTCTTCAGTGCTTGTCGCTGCCTTTACTACCAGCATCCCCTGGATAGGTGCCCAAGATACGGCACAAGGGGCCATGGAATTACACAGCGAACGATCTTAGTCGACTATGCATGTGTGGACCACGTTCAGGCTCCAGCGGCAGTCTCATTTCTATTCTCATATTTCACAAGAGCGCTGAATACGTGTTGATTGTAAGTTGAATGACGACCATGATGATTAGTCTCTATTCATCAAACTTGGTACTAAGAAGCCCAAAGACTTTTTATTCGATCTAAATTCACCGAAGCCCATGATGCCGGACTCAAGTGCAGCTTGGGTAAGACGGCTGGACAAAGACGACGAAGTGTTAGGACTCGACCGCCCACAGTTGGTTTACAAGGGATTATCCACCAGCAAAAACGAGTTCCGCCTGTTGCAGATTGAGCCGGCTGAAAACTCCGGCGACCCAATAATTGGTAGACTCTTCAAGGCATCGCTTGATCATTTTCCACCATACGACGCGGTGTCATATCGGTGGGAACGAACGAAGAAGTCTCACACTATCATCATCAACGGAACCAAATTTCCAGTGATGGAAAATGTGTTCTGCTTCTTGTCGGAGTTTCGACAGCAATCATTTCCGGCCTCTCCCACCTTCTGGATCGACAGCGTCTGCATCAACCAAGATTCCACGTGGGATCGAAACAACCAAGTGCAATTGATGGGAAAAGTTTACTCGAAAGCCAGCGCCGTCAGAGTATGGATCGGAACAGATTCTGACAATGCAGAAGCGGCGTTCAATCTGATTCATCGATGTGGACGAGCCGACGGTGTGCCGGACAAGGATATTGTAGCAAATGTTGTGCGCAACGAAGTCGGCACAAAGGCGATCACAAAATTACTCCAACGAGAGTATTGGAATCGTATGTGGGTTTTCCAAGAGATAGTCTTGGCCAGCAGGGCAGTCGTCCACTGTGGAACACTACAAGCCCCATGGTCGAATTTCAGATGGCTTGACAACGTCTCGTCGAAACATACACTGTGGCTCGAACACCAAATTAAATACCAATGGATCTTCGAGTTTCGTAAGGCCATGTTCAGAATTGCCCATTTTTGTATCACTGTGGACCAGGCCACCCATATCAACAACGTCCTGCACCCAACAAGGCATCTACAATGCCAAGATCCCAGAGACAAGCTATTCGCATTACTAGGTGTTTGCAAAGCTTTGGATTGGATTGTGAATCCTGATTACTCTGCTTCAGTGCGGGATGTGTTCACCGCCTTTGCGCAAAGCCAGATGATAGAAGATGGTAACCTGTCTGCGGTGCTTACAGCTGGGCAATGGAGCCCACTGAATGGGGGCGACATCAAGCTTCCCTCATGGGTCCCTGATCTTCGCGGCATGGGCGGCGTTGATATTCGCTATTTGGCAGGCAGTTACGTGGATGCTTTTGACGCTGATGGGAGCGCTCCCACGCAGCATGGGTTCACTCTCAAGCAGGATGATTTCCTCGAGCAGGACGGGAACAACATCGTCAATGTTAACGCAATACTCTTCGATACCATCCAAACCTGCAGGCCACTCCATGGAATCGCCCAGTCAGACCCTGATCGCAAAGAATTGATCATGACTGTCTGCTCGTTGACCGATGACGGCATGTTCTCAATGCTGAGGCTTCGAGAACTTTTCGAAGGTCTCACATTCGCCGACAAGACCACCCTGGTCTATAAACGTTCTACAGAGTGGCGCATTCAAGAGAGAACGAGGAGGCTGGCGCTTGGCTTTTACCAAGACCTTTGCGAGCTTTTTGGTCCCAGTCCCATCTTTGTTAGCCTTCTAGAGTCTTTCGAACAAATTACTTCGGCTCTTGGTCTCTATAAATCGGTACCGGAAATGGTCCGAGGCTGTGGCCTGGAGCAGATGTGTCTGAACAAGATGGAGTATCTAAGCAGAGCAGCAGAAACGACCGATCGTCAGTCGACAGCTATTTTCACCACTATTGGAGGGCGCTTAGGAATCGGGCCTCGCTGCGTGCAACAAGAAGATCTTGTTGCTATTGTGCGAGGTTGCCGAGTACCGTTGGCTCTGCGGCAACACATGGCTTATTACAGGCTGGTCGGCCCAGCTTACGTTTCAGGAATAATGCAGGGTGAAGCTCTGGGTTCTTATGACGAGCATGGCAATCATAGGAGCTTTGAGGCAATACAGCTTGTGTAGGCGCTTAGCATTTCACTACCAGCGTGCGAACTCAGGTGTTGAGTATGTGTCGTGCCTTGATTTGAATTCAGTCGATGCTGTTATTTCGAACCTAGCAAATCGTCGGCTCTGCACTGACATGTGAAATGACGCATTATAAGAAAACGGCCGGGTACTCAAAAGTTCTCGCGGTCAGGATAGAGCACGAAGCTTCAGCACCACCAGACATATCCAACCTTTCACAGAGTCCGGCGTTTCTGTTTTCCCTCCACGTTTTTGAGAGAAATTCCTCGCTTCTTTTCAGTATGTCTGTTCTCCATGTCTCATGATTCTTGCGCAGCCTACTCGCTATCAATCTCCTGTGGGTTCCTACAGTAGCGCCCAGACCTGCCACAACGAGCGGCCAACACATCACCCCGTTCGCTGGGGAGGATGGGGATAGCTCCTCAAGGCTCGAGACGAACTCTTGAATTAAATTTTGGATCTCTGGAGACTGGTGCGCAAGCTGAGGGTTCAACGTCCTCTTCACGTAGAGGAGACAGCCAAGCCGATACAAATTGAAGATCAAATCCGCGTCATCACTTGCTGCAGTGTGAAGTTCTTTCGGTGAAAACGGATGCGGCTGGGAAAGCTGTGTTTCGATGGTCCGCAGCTCGGAGGCAGCAGCCGTGCTAGAAGCAGCAGCAGACCTTACATCATCGGCTAGCATGGACACGCGAAGGATGTAGAAAAACACCTCCCGGCTTCGTCCGAGTAGGATACCTTGATACTGACAGCCTGTGAGGAAGGGCGAGTTGAAAATCTGTAGAGCTAGATTGAGCTGCAGGTTGTGTCCATGTGAAAATGCTGTCAGGGTGAAAATGTAGCAGAATATCTCGAAAATCAGGCCTCGTAGACCGGGATCTTGTGCCATTACGAAACTGCGACTGTGACACAGGGCTGCGGCAGCGTTAATGTGAGGTAGAATCCTCTCACTATTAGTGAAATTGACGGCCTGCTGAGAGCGTTAGGTTACTGCATACATCCGAAGTTTTGGCTTGCAATATATTACCTCGTGTACGCAGAGTAGAATTACAGCTAAGAGTACCTCATCCCCGGATCGGCAGTCTGCTATGTCGGCCTGTAAATGTCTCGAATGCGTGGTTCTTACCGCCGCATTATGGGCCCCGGCCCCTACAGAGCCGCTTGGTGCACGCTCACTGTCCAACACAGAGCGGATGCCCTCTAAGGCCTGGCCGTAGAAGCCACAAGACAGATTGGCCATGTCAGAGCTTGCCAGGTGGTACTTGCTCAGATCCCCTGCTGCCAATGCCAGGACGCAGTTGAGCACCAAACGGCTCCGTGCTGCCACTGGCATGATGAGACGCTGACAGGCAGCCCTCCTCTTGGTGCCGCCAATCGTTAGCCACAACGGACTGGCGTCGCGGAAGTGGGACAACAGTGCCTGGACAACGGGGGTGGTCGCGGCCGTGAAAACGGTGGTGAGAGGACGCATCTCATGAGGCAAGGCAAAGTCTTTATTGTATCGAGTCTGCCGGCGAGGAAGTTGCTTACGCGGCGCCTCAGCGCCTCGCCAGTTACACGGCAGGTTTCTTTCTAGACAGGCAGTACAGCACGGATGGCGCTCGTCGCATTTCCTCTTGCGATGACGACATTGTTGACAGCCATTTTTCGAACGACGAGGTATGTCGGACCCGTTCATGTCCCGCTAGCAAACACGATGTTGTTGTCTCTGAATGGTCCCTTCCGTCTGTCCTTGAGATGGGACCGTATTCCGCTGAATGGAGCCGAGCCGGAGTGATAATAACGCAAGGTGAAAAGATCACCGTGCAGGGCATAGGTGTCTAGTTTGTGCGGGATCGGCAGTCTGCAGAGCGCCTTGGCGTTGCATAAACTACTCGTGGGTCTGCCCGCGTTGACCCCCTACAAGCATAATAGGCGCCAAATCCCCGCCATAGTCAAAACCTTTATTCAACCGCATGATATTTGTATTACCAGCATTTCACAATAGCCTATAATTTCTTCATAGTACCTATCAGTTCATAATTATTGAATACTTTCAGGAAGCCAATGCGCTTTAGACTGATGCGTATGTTGTGGTTAAGCAGCATTTCGATCCAAGGAAAGCAAGACAGACATATGCTTCATAATAAATCCGGAGGCGAAAGAGAAAGAGAGTCCGCCCTACAACGATAATACATGAGACGTTCCGAAACTCTAGACTAGAGAAAACACCTCTTCCTTCTCTTCTCCGGCTTCCAAGCGACTCATCGCATGGCCGTCCATGAAGCCCTCCAAATAACACTCCCCGATAAATTCATAGTCATTGCCACCGGTTCCTTGTTGCTCTACCTTCCTCAGCAAATAAGGGACCGCGCCTCCATACAGGATCACAACAACATCGCCAACCCTGGCATAATGGGGACATAACCCCTCGCCCTCTAAGCCACGTGCGTCCCGGGTCTTAAAAAAACAATCACTCAGACACGTAAAATTGGCTCCTCGTTCCCCACGCCGGACGTGTCGCACAAGATGGTCGAGATAGCTGTCCATCCGATCCTTGACACTTCTGTCTCTTGGTCGATGGTCCTCGCGCTCCCATAGCCACTGCATCGACATGCCCTGAGGATCGAATAGTTGGGCAAAGATGTCGTGCATCGCCGAAGGGCCGCGAATCATTCCATGCGTGTCTACAGCTGGGTAGGCTCCAATACTCTCGATAGTGCAAATACGGAACCCCGCCAAGCGAAGCACCGAGCTTCCGCTCCGCGTATCTGCCAACAGCCTCGAGTCTGGAACCGACGACCCGCTCGCGCTAAAGAGACTGCTCTCGCCCAGCGCGAGAGTCGACCGTGCCCTGCTCGCAGCACCGCCGTACCAGAAACACCAAGTCGGATGGCCGAGCTTGGATAGATCCACGTCGGGGCCGGACGACATTTTCTGCCACCCCCTATCATGCAGGGTGTGAACGGCAGACAGGATGCGCAGGCTCTGGTGCTCGGCAATCCACCACCGCGTGAAGTCCACAAACACCTCCGTCACGCTCTTGCGGTAATTAGGGCGCACCGCCAGGGGTAGATTTTCGGTATCCCCGGTCTCTGAGCCAAACTGCAGCATAGCGAAAATTTTGTCCCTTGGGTCGGTAGCATCCAAGTCGTGTGCTGCGACAAGGACATCTATGATTTTGAGGTCGGACGAGCGGACAACTTGTGCCGTCTCTCCGCCGACAAGAGGGAAGAGCCGCGAGAAGACAGAGGGCATGAGGCTGTAGCGAAAGAGATCTGTTGCATGTTTGCCCCGCATAATGCAGTCAGCCAACCGCACTATCACGGGCCAGGGAACGATATCGTTGCCGCACTGTGCCCAGGCGGATTTCGCATTGGCGACTTCCTGGAGCACCCATGTCCGACGGAAGTAGGGAAAGTCACATCGACGCCAACGGTCGACGAACGGGAGCATGCCATCTCTCCCGATGGCCATGGAATCGTGGGTGGTGTCAATAGCAGCCTTCGAATCGCCGTCCTGATCATACGTGGCCGCAATTGCCTTGATATGGTTGAAACACCATTTGCTGTCCTCAGTGGACGGGCCAAGCCAGACATTGACCTGCTCGGCGAGAGTGTAAATGGATTTCATAAGCGAGACTTGGTGCGACCGCTCTTCGACGTCGAGCTGATTTATGCAAAGAGCGTCAGCCCAAAGAGTTCTGGACGGACCAGACACTGGGCGGAGGCGTCGCAGAGCATCGTAAAGTGTGGATGTGACGGTGACTGTGAGCTCGCCGGCGTAAGGCGTCTGCACGACCAGGGATCGAGTATCGGTCAAATCCCCCCAACAATAGGAGAGGGCCTCGTACTTTGCTCGATCGAGATTATCGAGTGAAATCGTTGCGAGCGCCACTTTTATGGCATCATCGAATCCTCCCGAAAAGATCTCCACCACGCGAATCTCTCTTTGATCTCGTCTCAGAGGCCGGTAAAGCTGTATAGAGGGCGTGGCTGACTCTACAAGGGCCGGCAAGGGGTCTGTGAGCAGCTCGCCGACAGCCTTGATCTCAGCGTGGTGCACGTAATTCATCCAGGCGGGAAATTCTGAGCGAGCCAGGAGCTGGATAGTATCTCCGCCCCGAACGGAGGCCAGCCAATCTCCCTTGTGTGGGGAGTCGAGGCGCCACACGTTTTCATGTCTCTTAGGGTCCAGAGATGCATTCACATTGTGCTGGAACCGTTGCGTCGGGACCCTTTCGTGATACGAAGGCGAGATAACTGTCAGCTCGAAGTAGGAGTTTGACCCCTCGTACGTGCCACCCAGGGTAGCTTCGGTGTCGCTGAAGCCTGATGGTACTAATTAGTTAAGAGATCGCTGGGAGTTCTGGGACGTCGCTATGCAAGCACCTTGATCATGGGATACCGTGATGATGGTCATCTGTGTCAGGCTCTTTACTTCGGGCGGGATCCTAAGTTCCAGGTACGGGCGTCCTGGACACTGCCTTGACACTGCCACCAGCTGTGACCTCTTTGTCTCGGCTGCCCACGATAGCATGGCTACGGATTCGATGAGAATTTTTGATGAGTTCTTAAGAGACCAAGGAGGTTCAGCAATCTGGCTATTCCGACACAGCCATTATCCATGGGCATGTTGACCCCATTTCGAAGGATTGTTTGAGGCACAGGGTGACTGTTCTAGCCCATCATGATGTTGCAAGCCGTAGACACCCCAGCTGCAGGCTGCAGCTGACGTCAGCCGAACTGCAGCTGAATGATGGCCTCAAGAGGGCTTCTTCTCAATCAGTCTTGATGTCATGGTTGAACTACATCTTTCTCGGAGGGTTATGATTTGTTCAGATGTAATTCTGGAGTACTGAATTGCGTTTCTATTTCCTACTGATCCTGAAAGAAAGGGGCATCCAAGCTCTTTTTGCACAATGTGTATAATATCTGTATTATAGATGACAGTTCGAATATTTCATATGATTTGAATATTCTATTAGAATTTGTGTTCAACTTCAATATATCTGTGATATAGGAATCCGAAGCAAGCAATTGCCATGGTTTTGAAAAATATTTTACGGAAATGAATTTGGCGCCCATCACGCCAGTAGGGGTCCTACGAGGGCAGACCCACGGCTGTGACGAGTAATCGACGATACAGATCCACCGGTGACTGGGGATAGCCCTCGCGGCTCTAACGAAGATTCCTGGCGTCTGCCGCACCTTGGCGTCGGCACGTTAAAGCTGAAAAGGGTAAGGTGCTTTTCAACAACGAAGTCTCATTGGCGAATATTTGAATGCTTGATTCAGACCAAGTCATCTTTGGAGACCAAGTGCATGAGTTAACAACACAGCACGGACTAGTCGCCTTTTTGTGCTCCTCAAACGGGTAGATACAGATCTGGGAACGGCTGTAGGATCCCTGTCCTCCCAGCAAGTTTCAAAGTATTTAAACATCAAAGAACAGCCACATATGCTTCAATGGCAGTTGATGGCTCATGACTCCCATCCGCTCTCGACTGCCTTCACTTGCCGCACCGTGAACCTGCTTCTCAGTGCAGTACTCCCCGTCGTGTTGCCTCTCGCATGTACCTGAGTCATAGGCACCGATCCGGCGCGCATTATAACCATGTTGCTCAACATCAATGAAGATGAGAACCTCACTCGCATGGAACGAGGCGAGCTGTACTACGCTTTCTCTCCTAGACTTGTAGCCGGTCGTCGGCGATGCGGTCAGGCTGTTGGGCGGCTCAACAGGGCGGAGGATCCGAGTCGCCGGCAAATCGCAGAACTTTGGAAGGAGCAAGTGCAATGCCCTTGTGTACCACACACAGCCTCTATGCATGAGGAAAGCAAATGAGGGCACAAGCTGACACAACGCAACAGTATAACGAATAGCCAACAGCCTCTGCCTCCTGTGGCTCCCACCGAAGAGGAAGAAGACGCCATTCTACATGAGTATCCCTGGATAGAACGACCCATCTTCATTGACTATGGAACGAATATCAAAGTGGGGAGCAACGTCTTCATTAACTACAACTGCTCCTTCATCGACACCTGCACCGTGTCGATTGGTTCGCGCACCCTTATTGGCCCCAACGTCTCCTTCTATAGCGGCACTCATCCCCTCGAACCAGACCTGCGAAATGGCACCAACGGACCGGAGCTCGGTGCTCCTATCACGATCGGCCAGGATTGCTGGCTAGCTGGACATGTTATCATCCTCCCAGGCGTGACTGTGGGCGATGGATGCACCATTGGGGCCGGAAGTGTGGTAACCAAGGTAGCTCTGGCCATTTCCCTTTGTATATTTGGTTGCCCTGTTATTACTTCTATTTTTCCTCCTACACTGCGCTTGAGATTCGGCAGCAGTGATGAGAGTGACGCGTTCATTCGATAACTGAGAGTTACTAACCGAGTTACGGGGGCCAGGATATCCCGCCGTACCACGTCGCAGCAGGTAACCCTGCCAGGATTCTCCGCAAGATTGAGCGCAATTCCAAAGCAAAGATGGAGTCAGTGGAGGGTCTGAAGAAGCCAGTGGCGGAAGCAGCACACAACACCCAGGGAACGAAATAATTATTCAGGATGTAGAAACATCATGAGTTGTGAAGGCGCTTTAGCTTTAATCATAGCTGGTAACACCAATTTTATGCTGATTACACTTGATCTATACTCCTCTGTAGTGGCTTGATCAGATTTTCTCTATGCTCTTTGCGTCATTATTGATCAATCTTCATCGTATGATGATAACGTAATACGGCTCTTCATGCGTATAGTCACCTTGTTGTGGACGGAACGGTCAATTCCATCACAAGGAGGGCTTGGAAGACTGCTCTCAATGCTGAACAGTCTTCTTTGGTGGTCAAATATAATATAGAAGCTACTCGTTCACGAAGCTTCTCCTCAGATCGACCACCCGGCGTACAGGTGTCAAGCACAGCCTCCATCACATCCTCTTCCAACAATGCCGCTGGAGTCAAGTATATAGCGTGAGGCTCCGGAGACAAGACGCAAGAGCTTGAACTGCTAATGGGGCCGCACTAGCTACAGCATAAGTCCCTCAAAGCAGGGTTATTAAGCGGAGTGAACAGCGGCACGAGCCTTGCGAGGGGCTCTCTTTGCGAGCAGTTTATCACCCATATGAGCAGTACTCCCCCGACCAGAAGTGGCATGATATATTTTGCCAGTTTATTTTGGCCATAGACTTATGGATAATATGCACTCGTCTCCAATTCCTCCCTGAAATGCTTTTTCTCTGCTGAGCTGATGACATGCATTGTCGGCCCTTTGGCCGATCAATTGTACGGTCTCTCAAATTTGTTTTCTTACTAGCCCATAGATCTGCGGTGGATATCTTGCGGACTTTTGGATGAGTATTCTGAGCTTTGTGCAGTGTCATCACTGGGTTGCAGAGTGTCTCGTTTGCTTTTCATTCCACTTGCATGTCTCTTTTGGTACACGCTGCTGACCCTGGCTATCATGAACCGGCCCACCAACTGTCCGCGTTCGGTCACTACGAGCTCGACTTTATGCTGTAATACAAAGAGATTACGGACCTGGCACTGCGTATTACCAAGGCATAAGTTCCGGAATGCATATCTACGGCGGCTAAATAACTTCACTGCTGACGATGGCTTGTGCCTGTCTCTGCCTTGTGCCCTGCCCGCAGGACCGCACCAGACAGGCGGGCCAGAACAGGACGGCAGAGCAGGGTGGGATGACATGCATGAAAGATCGCCCTGACACCCTTCCTGTACCGGCTGATGGTACAGCGTGCCAGGTTTCCAAAAGTATGCCTGTCTGAAAGAATATGATTGGCCCTGTTAGTTGTTGAGTATTCTCCCTCGAAAATTGCTACTAAAGGTACATTTTGAGAAAACAGTGGAACTCCCCCAAATTTATTGGAGATCTGCAACTGCACAGTCAAATCACATAGGAGAGCTACCTCCTCCCAAAATGATAAAGTCTGCAGTATATGTATTTGCAGGCATACTTCTGCAATCCTAGCACCCTGTACCTGCGGCCCGTCCTCGTGTTGATTGTCGCACGGCGAGAAAGGGGCACATCAATCCGGCTCGGCCTGCGGTACCGCATTCGACAGTGTTACTGCTTACTGGTCGGTGCTACCCACAGCCATCCACAAGTGCGGGTCCATATACCATCGAATTATCATTGTTATTTGTTGGTCAACCAATGGGCTCTTCATCGCAGTGCTTCCAACTTGTCGTCCCTGCAGGGCAGCATGCCCGACTAAGGGGCTTAGAGGTCGATTTACCAGTTGCATTGCACCCCGGAAACGCGGTTGGGATTTGCGGATGGGTTTCTTGGAAATAGTTGGCGCGAGACCCAGTGTTTATCATGCAGCAGTCCAGGTTAGCGTCATATGGACGCTGGCTGTGGAAAATGTCGATCACGATACCCGGCGTGCATGTGTCCTGCCCTCAGGACTAGCGGCCGCGGGCTGTCTATATATCTCTTCCTACTGCCAAATACGGCGTAAAAAATGTCAGATCGCTACGGTATTCGCCTCCACGTCTCTTTGAATATTAAACATAATTACGGTGGATCACTGCAGCTACCAGGATGATGCTCAACGTGTTGTTCGTGCTGGCAGTGGCTGGCCTCGCACAGTCAAAGGAAATAATTCACCCACGAAGCTCGAATGATACTTCAACCTCAGTGTCAAATGGGACCTGGACAGGCGTCACTCCGGAGCTCACGTCGGCCGCCATAGATGCCATGAACACGGCATGGTACAACGAAACCGACGGCCGTTGGAACTCGACAACAGCGTGGTGGCTGACCGGCAACGCACTCCAAGCAGTCTGCGACTACACTTATGCAACAAAGGACACGCAGTACCTCTCTCAGCTGGAGCATACGGTCCAGGAACAATCCGGGCCCTTGCCCTGGTGGCCAGAGGGCGGCGGTTATTTCCGCGCAGACTCGACAGACGACACAGGGTGGTGGGCGCTGGCCATGGTGCGGCTGTTCGACATCACCGGGAACAGCACGTACCTCGATATTGCAGAGACCGACGAGGCGTACATCTACACCTACTGGAACGCGAGCACCTGCGGGGGAGGGGTGATATGGGATATCCCGGACCTGAGCTACAAGAACGCCATCAGCAACGAGTTGTACATCAAGCTGGCCGCGTCCCTGCACAACCGCATTCCTGGGGACACGAAATACCTCGACCGAGCTGTGGAGGGCTGGAATTGGTTCAACCACTCGGGGATGATCAACTCGGCGCACCTCGTCAATGACGGCCTGGCACAAGAGTCCAACGGCACGTGTGTCAACAACGGCGACACGACGTGGACTTACAACCAGGGCGTGATACTCGGCGCTCTTTCGGAGCTGTACATTGCCACCGGCGAGGAGTCCTACCTGGACGCTGCGAGCAGCATCGCGGATGCGACCATATCCAGCTCGCTCCTGTCCCCCGGCGGTATCCTGAAAGAGCCATGCGAGACCACGGGAGGTTGCGACAACAACCAGCAGGCGTTCAAGGGCATATTCACTCGCAATCTCGCGGAGCTGAATGTGCAGGTACAAGATCGGCCGTATGACGAGTATCTTTCCAACAACGCCAAGTCTGTTTGTACTTCGGACCGCAACTCCCTGGATCTGTTCGGGCTTTCGTGGGATGGGCCTTACACACCCGCAAGCGTCGGCACGCAGTCCTCCGTAATCAGTCTCTTTGTCGCGAATTTATGGTAATAAGTTGGTTTCTCAATAGCAGCTATAGTGACTGGAAGTCTCATGGGGTTGTTATAACACTCAAAGTTGTTTCTTCGTACTTCAAAGGACGAGGTGCTTAATCAATAGCGAAATAGAAGTTGCCGTTAACAAGCATTATTCATATTTTACAAGGATGCGCTATAGTTAGACGAGATTATTGTGGCAATCGCCTTGGTTTCGGCTTCATAGACAGACACCTGGGCTCGCTGCATGGATTTGGAAAGAAATATTCCCTTTTACAATCGCATTTTCGCATCAAGCGTGTTATAGCATGTCGTATGAGGGAAAACCACAGAATCTGAAGCTACAAGCTTTCAAACAGTCTTAGTCTCATAGTTTCCTTCTCAAAATCACCACCACCGTCAAAGTTCTTTATAGATACCATGATCTCTCAAAAGCTTTGATCTAATACGCGGATTCACAAGCCTAGACCCTGACACTCGCCTTGGAAGAAACAGAAGCAGCAAACGGCAGTTCCCGCGCTGACAGCCACTAGTTTTCTCACGGATGGGGAATGGGAACCGAGTTGCCAAGCGACGGGGGTGGGGGACGCAATCTAACATCATTAAAAGGAAACAACTACCCACATCGACGCGTACCACAGTAAGCATCACCAGCCAATTCTCAGGACATTTGTCCGAGGTGTCATGTTTCAGAGCACCGTACCTGCTGATCCAAACCCAGACCTCGCTTGGTTACTTTGAGTGAAGTAGCGGCAGCCCCGCTAACAAATCCATCATCGGGATCAAGTATTCTACCCCAACTCCCTTTCATTTCGAATAGACATGTATGAAGTACTTGATACGAATAGCACCTGGGAAGTAAGACGTTGAAGAAATGTGGCAAAGTACGAGCCTTGACAGGAAGCCCCTCATTTGTCGAGTTGCTTTGAATAATTATTTAGATGGTATGCAATTTCCCACGAGACTTACCAACCTATCCGTACACCATTCAACCGCGTTCGAATTTTGGTACCGCAAATATGAAGTCGTCAAACTCCGCGTTTCTTCTATCAATGGCGCTTGGCCAATTTGCTGCCAGCAGGGCTGTTGGCAAACGAGCAATTTCTTCGGCCGTGAGCGGCACACCCATGGGTTTCGCATCTGCAGTGACCGGCGGTGGCGCTGCTGACCCAGTGTACCCGACTACTATCGACGAGCTAAAGACCTACCTCACTTCCGATGATCCTCAAGTCATCGTAATATCCGGCAGTTTTGACTTCTCAGGCTCAGAGGGCACGTCCTCCTACGATGCTTGCGACTCATATTCTTGCAGCCCATCTGACGGTGGACAAGCGCTGCTCAACACCCTTGATGGCTGTGGCTCTACATCGACTTATAGCGTCTCAATCGATACCGCCGCTTACCAAGGCATCAATGTCGCCTCAGACAAGACTCTAGTTGGCAAAGACAATGCGACGCTGAACGGAAAAGGATTGCGCTTTGTTGATGCTTCCAACATCATAATTCAAAATATTGAAATCACGAATTTGAACCCTGAATATGTTTGGGGTGGAGATGCTCTCACCTTCTCTGGTACTCAAAATGTTTGGATCGATCACGTTACGGTCAGTTGTCTAATTTTTCTTCGACGCATGATGTTTTATTCTGTGTGCCGCAACAGTCACCGTGATGCTAATCAGCTTTGTTAACCGACAGACTTCGAATCTGGGCCGTCAACACTACTCCTTTGGACAGGATGCTAGCAGTGGAATCGCCATCTCTAACAGCTTTCTTAATGGCGAAACTGCCCACTCTGCTACGTGCGACGGTCACACCTACTGGGCATTGGAGCTTGTTGGTTCTGACGATCAGATCACATTTTACAGTGAGTTGTAGTTTTCTGCGATCATCTATATCATTGTCTGACTAGTGACTAATAGAAAACTACGTCTATAAAACGTCTGGCCGCACACCAGCATTATCTGGTACCACACTTTTCCATGCCATCAACAACGTCTGGTCCTCTAATACCGGTCATCTCATTGAAGGCGGCGAAGAAAAAGGCATGGGTCTTTATGAGGGCAACTATTTCGAAAATATTCCAACCGTTGTGGCATCGGGCTGGGCTGGTCTATTGTTTACGTCTGAACCGTCTGACGTCTCGCAATGTTCAGCGTATTTGGGCCGTGACTGTGTGTCCAACGAGCTGTCTTCTTCAGGAGACTTCAGTTATGATGACACGTCCTTCCTTTCCGAGTTCCAAGGCCAGTCCATTCCTGAAGCTGAATCAGCCTCGTCTATACAAAGCACAGTTCCGGCGCAGGCAGGAAACACGTTGTAAATATGCTGTTTATTTGTACATAAGTCTAGCTATTGTATATATACCAATGAATGCTTGAAGTATTGGTCAAATTCGAAAATGTCCTTGTGCAATAGGAGTGCATCTCAAGTCAGGGTAAGCTGGTGGCCAACGAAATAGGCAGAGGACCACGAGATCAATTTGATGTGGCTGGATCAGCATGGTAAGTGCGATTCGCATGCACAGGAAATGATCAATGATGCTTGCACTGTGATAATATGACACTGAATGTGAAGACTAAGGCGAGGCAGCCCTTTCCAGTATGCACTCCTCCACTGTACCGAAATTTGCCCAGCCACCATTGTCCCTCCCTGTGCACACATGTAGAACTTGCTGCACTTGTAGAAGCTTGGAAGCCCAAGCGAGAGTTGTAACCCGTCCTCTTTCCGTCTCGTTGTTCGGCAGAATGGAACGAACTCGTCCGACGTAGTAATGTTGACCGACTTAGTCGACGGAAATTAATGGTAGTCACATTTTGGTGCCACTTTCAACGATTCTGTCACAATCAGTGATCCTGTCGTGGTCGAGTGTTGGAAGTTGTGACTTGAGATATATGCGGTCAAGGCTCAATACGAGCAGTAACGGGTGAAAAGAGATGTCATAGGAGTTTCGCAGCTTCAGTTCACGGAAAGCCAAGTCGGAGTTAAAAAGCGGGTGCGGGTGCAGCGCTGGCTTTGTTGGGATGTCCCTGTTGCGACTTATCACAGTATTAACGACTTGGTCACGGTTGATCAGGCTGTGACTTTAGAGATGCACGGTACTGGAACCAATATCTAGCTAGGTAAAGATTTATCACGTCTAAGGGCAAACTTTCCCAACGCTGCTCAAGCTTGGCTGAGGAGTCAGTCATCCTCAAAAATGGATGTGCATTGCTCATGATTTCGGGTCATACGCGTGTATACAATTCCGTGAAGGGATCGGGTATACGACGGAAATCAACATATTCGGCACATGTTGTCCCGTTGTGGCCTCCCCCGCATGATTTGAATTCTCAAATTCTTCTGCAATTCAACGAGCCACTTGGTTATCGCTCCACTTCGAGTAACGCAGGTTGCAAGGCGCAGTTCAGCATCAATGGCACTTGGCCTTATTAGGATCGGAGCTGGAAGGGCATGGGGATTGGAGGAAAAACACGTACAAACCTTGTCTTCATATCCAATCTAAACGGGTACGACGCTACCGCATTCGTGGTCGGTACATGAGTGGTCGAGTCCCGCGAAACCCCTGACGACAAAACACCGTATTGATACTCCTGCTCTGGGGTACATAAGGCGTTGAGACCGCCAAGCTCTTGTCCCGTGGCTTCCAAGAGATCGGATGAGCTTATCTTCAGCCTCAATACCCCGGTTTTCACGCGGAACATTCAACATGCTACTGTTCGTTCCAGTCCTTTTGGGATTCGCGTCTCCCGCGTCTTCCTTGGCCTTTCCTGGAGCTGTTGGCTTCGGTGCAGTCTCGACCGGTGGATCAGGTGGAACAACTTGCCATGTCACCAACCTCAATGATTCCGGCTCTGGCTCTTTCCGTGACTGCGTGAGTGCGTCTAACCGGATAGTTGTCTTTGATGTCAGCGGGTACATCACGCTCAGTTCTGCCGTCTCCCTCTCGAGTCAACTCACCATTGATGGATCGACGGCTCCTAGTCCTGGAATCGGGATTATGGCTGGCGAAGTGTCAGGCAGCGGAAAGAACAACATCATCATCACCAATATGCGGTTCCGACAAGGCAGCCTGGACTCAGATACAGGCAAGAGCGCTGTAAATTTCGGCAAGGCGTCGAACATTATCATGGATCATTGTTCATTTGCGTACGGCCAGTGGGACAGTAAGTCGAATTGAAGACCAGCATTGATCTATTCGAAAATGAGAGCACATGTCTCTCCGCGGAGCATTCACTGACTTCTTGTGTACAAAGCCATCGATGCTGTCGGAGTAGTCAACCTGACAGTGTCGAATTCAATCATTGCTTTCCCCATCGGACAACAATTCGGAGCTCACATCGAAACTGGACCTTCTACTTTCTTCGGCAACCTGTGGGTGAGCGCTCATAATCGCCAACCACTTTCCAAGGACGATACGCAATACATCAACAATGTTGTCTACAACTATCAGGCCGCATATACCGCGGCAAACACAGGTGGAAGCTTTTCCCACGATGTGATCAACAACTACTTCATCGCTGGTCCGAGCACGACCAGTGCTGGCAATCGATACTACCAAATGAATGCCAACCAGGCGGTCTACGCTACTGGCAATTACGGAGATGCCAGCCTGGATGGAGTGCTCAATGGTGCGCAAGAGAACAAGGTCGGGGATGCGGTGGTCCTCACATCTCCCTGGGCTTCATCTTCCACTAGCATGGTAAAGTGGACGGCTGCTGACGCTGTGACTAATGTTTTGGCATCGGCGGGAGCAACGCCGCGAGACGAGGTTGATGCGCTGGCCGTGAGCCAAGTTAAGTCTTATGGGACGGCTGGAAAGATCTATGGAGATCAAAAAGACACAGGCTTGTCCAATGGGGGTTATGGAACTCTCTGAGGGAGTGATCTGCTGCGAGGAGTTTCGACGTAAAGTTGCATTACGCATGAGCATAAACGCTACCCGCCCAGACTACAACTGAAGTGATGTCTGTGTTGACTTGCCATCAATATTCTCAGGAAGCTTTTTCGGCCACTTTGCTATGTTGAAAGCCTAGTCTAGCTATATGTCCAGCGCTATCAGAAAATGGCAGAACTCCATCTCTAAAGTAGTCCATTCTTTCATATCACTCCTCTTTAGAATTTTCTTTGCCATCTTCTCCTGGCCCTCAGCGGTAAGCTCACTACTCTTTTCCTGTGTTGACGCTTCCATCTTGCACAACCAACACGTCTGCGTTTCCGAGAAAAGCCATTTACGATGCCGGCTGCACGTAGTTTCGTGTTTTTTGCACAAAGACAACCCATTGTGCAACGTGACAGGCTATCAGTTGCCCTTGAATCCCGGGCAGTGATGCTTGTTACGGCCTCTGCGCCTATCAACTTTGCTGTATCGCGATCCATAAATTTCTTTTCGCTCCTGCTTGTTCCTCCTCTCATCACTTGGCTGGTTGATATTTCCGCTCGCCATAAGTTCGTCTTTTGTTTTTAAGATTTCTTTCGAAATGGAAACTTCTGAAGTGTTTAATAATGGAATGATGGTTAGACCGTATTCGGCTTAACTGATACTGCTCGTTTTCCTTGTGGTCGTCTGTGGAAGTCATGTTAATTCAATTGCTATTTATTTCCCAATGGGTAGTTCGTAGTATTTATGAAAAGTTTATTAGTCTTGTCAAATTGAACTCTTTTTGGGAGCGCGAAATGCAAACTAATTTTCTTTAATCTCTCAGTCGTGGAAGTTGTCAGTCTTCACACTTTCATAATTTGCGTGTGCATACTCGGCGATCTCGGTATCAGACTCATTCTCTTCCGTTACCATTTCAGAGAAATGATACGGTAGTGTGCTATCGCTCGTCTGAGACAATCACGTGTCAACACGGCCTTGTGCGTGGCAGAAACTGGAACACCCAACAATACAGAACTGTTTCCAGCGTGTCAGGGCCACCAGGGATTCATTGTTATCCAAAAACCTCTTCATTGGAATTATCTCTTGTTCTTTCAAGACTCTGGTTGATAAGTGTTGTGACAAAAGATGCAGTGCTCCTCATCTAATAGACCAATAAGAAGCTGAATTCCACCAACGATGCAGACAATGGATTTCCCTCATTTAGACCTGACGAGTCTGCATATGCTGATACAAACGGCGTCGTTGAATCCTGCGTAGAGGAAACTGACAGAATAAGACGATCATTCAGATTGGAAGAGAATAGAGTGGAGATCATGCAGTCAACTCCCAGAGAAATCAACGAAGACGAAATCGTGATGCTATCCCGAACTATTACCTACTAATGTAAACCTCCTGAATGTCTGCCACGAACTCGAAACTTGAAACCTGGGTAGTCAAAGGCCAAAGCGATGTGCATGATACCAGTGAAATTTGAAAACTCTCGTTAGATCTTCTAGATGTATACGATAAATGGTCATGCATTAGAAGTTGATGAACTCTATGAAATACGCTCCAACGCCCAAGTAGCCTCTTGCAAAATGCCCTCCAGTCCACCTTCGGCGTCTATAGGAAACACGTCTACCTCATCGACCGCAACATTCTCCTGGTCCGCCAGCTGGCTCTCAACCATCTCAGCCTTCATGTAATGTCCTTTCCTTCCTTGTAGTCTTGCAATCAAAGTCTCGGGGGCACACTGCAAATCCAAAAACACCACCTTGGCCCTGCCCCCTGAGCCGATTTGTCGTATTTGATCCCTGTACGACCGTTTCAGCCCCGAACAGCTGACCAACACTGTTTCGTAACCTAAGTCAAAGAGCTCCTCCTCCGCGCGACGAACAAGACGGTCGAGCCATGGTTTCCGGTGTTCGTCGGACAGGGCTTGGCCAGCGTGCATACGGTCAACGGCGTCTTTGCTGTGAAGCGAGTCTCCCTCAATGAACGGGGTGTTCAGTGTCTCGTTCGCCAGTGCTGTAGCTAGGGTTGTCTTGCCACTGCCACATGGTCCTGTCACAATGACGACGCGCTTGGCAGGCGAGCCTGCCTTGGCATCTTTGCTGGCAGTCGAAGACTTCCAGGACGTCCGGCAAAATTGATCCACGAACTTCTTGGCAAAGTCGCTATTCAGTAGTGGCGCATTGTCCAGGGTCTGCGACAGCGAGCGCGCTGTGTCGGTTACATACTGCTTTGAGGGGGCGAACTCATCGCGGTCGTACTTGCTGGCGAAGAAGTCGACCAGCTTGATAGGTGGGTTCGCCACAGGGTCCGGATTGGACTCTCTCAGCCTCTTGACCCACTCCTTTGGCTCGACCTCCTCAAAGTCTAAGCCCGCACTGCGAAGTGCAGGGAGTAAGTCATTCGTCCAGCTGAACGTGCGATGGTTCACCACGTTTGCGAATACCGCAGCCTTAGCCGATGTGTCTGCATCCGAAAGCGAGATCTCGGCGACACCTTTGGCGACGGTGTCGACGGGCAACCAAGACGGCGTTTCCGAGAGACGGGGTAGCGCACCGATGGTCAGCGCGCTTTGGAGCATTAGCGGGACAGCTTCCGTGGCGTTCCACACGCCATGTGTGGTGTCAGCTACAATCTGGCCGATCCTCAATACTCGTACGGGGATCCCCGCCTGCGATGCGGCGCGGGCGCAGATTGCCTCCGCGGCGGACTTGGACTGTGCGTATCCCATGCCTTGTGCCCACCTAGCATCGGGCAGGGACTCAGGAACCGGGCCTTGTTCGTCCGGATGTCTTGAGACTGTACTCACTGATGAGCAGAAGTTGAAGGAGGCACCTCCCGACTGGCAGAGATCGATCAGGTGGCGCACACCGGCGATGTTGTCCTTCTCAAAAGACGAGAGGCGGATGTTGAAGTTGACGGACCAGGCAGCGTGGATGACAGTTCTCAGACTTGATGTAATCTCACGATATGTCGGCTCTGGCAGTCCTAGATCGGTCTTGGAGAGGTCGACAGGTAAAGAGATAACCTTTTTGCGTAGTTGTAGAGGCAGGTTGTGGTACAACTTGCGCGATATCAAAGATTCTGCCGTACGCTTGGCTGCGCCAGCGTCGTCCTGGGCGCGGACGAAACAGTAAATACGTTCTATCGACGGATCCTGCACCAGTTGGGCGACAATATGCGCGCCGAGAGAGCCGGTTGAACCTGTGATGGCAACGAACCTCCCTTGCTTGGCTTGAGGCTTGGAGAATGATGAGTACTTCTCAACGAGAGAAGCAATCTCGTCCTCTATGCTCGTCTGCGTTGATGCACCCGATAAATACGCAGTCAGCCTGTCAATTGACGGGTGGTCGAAGACCACATTCTGGGTCAGCTTGCTGGCTGTCTTCACCGACCTCAGTATTTCTGCCCTGATTTGAATGGACTGCAATGAGTCTAATCCAAGAGAGAAAAAGTCGGTATCGTCCGCAAAGTTGGTTCCATGCGAAAGTGCCTTTGTGACCAGCCCTCTCAGGAACTCACGAAGCTCAGACTCGGAGTATTCCCGAGCATTCTCATTCGTCGACGACGATATTTCGTAGGCAAGTTCAATTTCTTTGGCAAAGGCCTTGTAGAAAGCCTGGCGAATGAGACTGCCCTTGTCTGTCCGCGGGTAGTCGACATCATAGGGGAGGATGACAAGCATCTCCTTGGAAAGCTTTGCGAATGCGTCATTTGATTCCTGAGCTGCCTCAACCACTGGCCACACAATATCGAGAATTTCAGCGGGTGATTTGCCAGCAGCTGCCGCTGGCGACGGAACAATGAGGACACCAAGATATGGTTGCTGGGCTCCAAAGAGAACCGCCTCAGTGATCAGCTTGCTGGACCGAATCTTGCCTTCCGTGACCACAGGGTTGAATTTTTCGCCATTGACCAGGACGATCGTATCATCTTGGCGAGCTATGTACTTCCATGCCCCAGGAATGCTGGGGTGGGGCTCGAAAAGGTCCTTTGTGCGGTAAGAGCCATCTTCCATGTTGGTCGATGTCTTGGCCGGCCAGCCTGGGAGGACGCAGCACTCGAACAAGTTGGGGCCTTGGGGAATCCAGCGAAGGTAGGGCTTCAGCTTGTCATGCTCCCTCACGTAGTTCCAGGCCTTGTCTCCAGGCTGTCGAAACGATGTCATAAGCTGGCCCACTTCGGTTCTGTTTGATTTCAGTCAGCGCATTTCATCCCACGTATTCACTAACGAGATGCCGACAGATAGCTGCACTTACGCTCCGTAATGGCTGACAAGATTGACGCCGTGCTCTACCAAAATGTCTCCTAGATCATCGGGACACGCTGAGCCACCGTACATGACAATCTTCAACTGAGCCAGAAGAGCCAGGCCATCATCGGCCTCGGCGAGCAATTTGAGTGCGTATGGGACGCCGTAAAAGATCTCAAAGTCATGTGCCTTCAAGATCTTGATAAGATAGTTGCACGTCAAGGGTAGATCGGCATTATACAGGTGAATAGCCTTCTTAGACCAGATCGCCCGGTACAGATTGCAAATTCCGTGGTTGTGATATAAAGGAAGCGTGATAAACGCCTTCATGTTCATGTTGCCCGAGAAATTTGAGAGCGCCGCATGTTGCTTCTGATAAATGGCCTTCGGTAAGCCAGTGGATCCTAAAGTCTATTAGTTGTGAACTCTGACTGTATAATGATAGCATCTTTTGGTTTTTTTTTTTTTTTTCATACCGCTTGAATGGATGATGTATACGATTTGGTTGATCTCGATGCTCGGGTCGAGGGCGGCATCGAGTTGCGTGTCGCCCACGGCATCGATTGGGAACTCGAAGTTACTCCTTGTAGGCATTTCGAGTACTTGGAGCTCGGGAACAAGCTCCTTGGTTGCCAAAGACGCCTCCAGATACCGAGGGTCCGCAATCAAGTATGCCGCACCGGTGGATTTGATTAGTGACTCGATTGCGGGAACCGATATCCTGGTAGACAGGAACAAAACTGTGTGGCCAAGCTTGAGAAGCCCCATCATCGTCACCAGGTACTCCAGATTTGAAGGGCCAAGCATCGCGACGACGGTCCGTTTCTCGGCCGAGCTTGTCCTCGATGGGATTGCAGCCTGAAGCTGCTTACCTACCCGGTAGGCGAAGACATCGAGTTGCTGGAACGTGTAGTCCACGTACTCGATGCCTGAGGATGGGTATGATACAACGGGTAGATCTGGATCTGTCCTCGCCCGTCGTCTGAGACATTCATCCACGGTCTTCAGTGTTGAGTCATCTTCGGTCTGCTCGATATGCTGGACACCGACGGTGTCCTTCTCGGTGCCTTTGGACACCGGCCCATCTGTCCTCCACATTGATGACACAGCTGCTGCCGGAGGCATGGTGGATGAGCAACTTGGGTGACGGTGAGTGGTAGCACCCTTGGTATGCTTGAAGGTCCGATGGCAGGATTTATGATCTACTGCTAGATTTGTCTTGAAGTTTTATGCGAACTCTGCCAAGGAATAGTCCACATCAGTTGACAATGTTTCTGAGTGTTGAGTACTTAATGTTCACGACTTTCGGCCACCCAAGTGAGCGGAGCTATATGAGTCCGCCACACAAAGATCCTAGGAGTGATTTGCGCTACTCGGATATTGTTATTACGGGCAACATCACGCGGGAGCCATTGCAGTGCCGATGACGTTTCCGTAGTGGATCACCGTCTACGCAGTGGATGTTGCTGGTATGAAGTGTGGCCAATGAAACAAGTATCCGGCTGGGTCCCGCTACTTGCGTTGCTTCTCCCATCCTAAGGCCCGGAAAAGGGTTAGGTAACCTGGCATTTCCGAACTAAAAACTGGTTATCTTTCGGAAAATGATCAGGAAAATTGTCAGCGAAGCAAGATTGTTGAGGGAATAGGATGCATTTCTACGAGAAGTGGACTTGGTTAAAGAGGGCCGGGGTAGTGTTCAAGATCCTCCAAGTCTGACACTTTTCCGAGCCAATCCGAGGCATCAATCTCTCCTAATTTGACCAGCCGCCAAACACCAACTGCACCAAAATCGGATCAACACATTCACAATGTCGCTTCCTACACACTTCACTCTCAATACCGGTGCCAGGATTCCTGCTGTGGGATTTGGCACATGGCAGGCCCCCAATGATGAGGTTGTTCAGGCCGTCAAGACGGCCCTCAAGACTGGCTACCGCCACATAGATGCAGCAGCTATCTACCGCAACGAGGCAGCCGTAGGCGAAGGAATTAGGCAGGGCGGCGTCCCTCGTTCCGACATCTTCATCACAGGCAAGCTTTGGAACACAAAGCATGACCCGAAAGATGTCGAGGGCGCCCTGGACAAGACGCTCAAAGATCTTGGAACAGACTACTTGGACCTCTTCCTCATACACTGGCCAGTGTAAGTTGCATAGTCCGTGATGCCCATAGCGAGAGAAATTTGAATCTGACAATTGTTTTCATGCAGTGCATTCGAGTCTAGCGACAAATGGTTCCCAATCGACGAACAAGGCGTGTTCAAGCTCGCAGATATCGACCCAGCCGCCACGTATACCGCGCTGGAGAAGCTGCTAGACACTGGGAAAGTGCGCGCAATCGGCGTCTGCAATTTTACGGTCAACAAGCTCAAGGACCTCATCTCCAAGACGAAAGTCGTTCCCGCAGTCAACCAGATCGAGGCTCATCCATACCTCCAACAACCTGAGCTTGTGGAGTTTTGCCGGTCAAAGAACATCTTGATTGAAGCATATTCGCCTCTAGGGAACAACCAGACGGGAGAGCCTAAGGTTGTGGATGATGCCTCTGTGAAGGAGCTGGCCAGGCAACAAGGCCTCGATGCTGCCCAACTCGTCCTCTCATGGGGTGTTCAGAGGGGCACTGTCGTGTTGAGCAAGAGCGTGACGCCAAGCCGGATCGAGTCGAATCTCAAGGTGGTGCAGCTACCAGAAGACATTTTCCAGAAAGTGACTGCCCTGGAGAGGCACAAGCGCTTCAATGTCCAATCGAGGTGGGGATACGACATCTTTGAGGAGATCGGAGACGCTGAGGTCAAGAAAATCGCCAAAGATGCCGGTCCAGAGAACTTGACGAAATTCAATGTGTAGCACAGAAGTAAAGGCGCATATTTTCTTACTTTATGAATAGATTATAGACAGAATCGGTTCAAGAAGGCGTGTTTAACAAGGATTTTCGGTGCAAGCCAGGCTACATAGTTGTGTCGGCGTTCCATACGAATGGGGCATCATAACTCTCAGAGAAAGTACCAAATGCCTAGAGTTCGAATTAGCAGGCTACATGAGATTGGCTATGCACATGATTGTTGACTTACCATTGAGTCTAGGTTCAACCAGTCCTCACTTTGCCACTCTTGTAGTGACCAATTCATCTCTTCGAACGTGGCACCAAAGCCGTTCTGCGGCGTGGAGTTCAATTCCATCGCACTTTGAGGACGGCTTGCTGGACTGGGGAAGGGCGCATCTTGCATCTGTGTAGGAGTGGTGTGTGACTGCACGGGGATCTCCCTAGTCACAGGTTCCCCTCCTGTCTCTCTATTACCATTCGCCGCGGCGGCGTACCTAGGCATGATCCCTCGTATCGCCTCTCTTCGCAGTTTCTCCAGGATCAGACTATATCTGCGGCTGGGCGAATTAGAGGCTGTAGCCTGTGCGAGATGTTTGTGGCACTTCTCGGCTAGAGTCATGAGCTCCGAATGGGATATTCCTGCATCGAGGGCGACACTTGGCTGTGTCTTCCGACTCTGTACTTCCCAAGCGTATACTATGGCCAATGCACAAAAGGTAACATAGTGTGTCCACCAAAACGCGTGAAAAATGGTTCCCTGCTCATTGACCATCTCGTCGACGGTCTCGAGGACTGTCGTGGCCGCGATTATGGCCTCGCGTATTTGAGGCTCGCTCCCGGAGCTGATCTTGCCTAGGAGGAACAGACGATTGATGTGCATGATAGCGTGGCAATGAGCTATTCGAAGTGTAATGGACTGACGACGGAACGTCGGTATTAGGCTGGATGGGTGGATCGAGCCAAGATACGGAGGCAGACTCTCTCGCCATCGCTGGAGGTCTTTCCCGAGGCGGTGAGCAGCCGCAATGCGATCTTTGTGTGATATCTGTTTTATCGAGTAGACAGTTCTGGCTGCCTCGCTTATAATATTTCCAACTCTTGAATGATATATCAAGGCGTCGACGTGGCAGTCTTTCTTGCCACGTTGATGCGTTGCAACCGGACCAGTAGGAGTCATGTCCTCATCATTGACACTATCTGGGGCTTCCTGATCGATGTCTTCGTCATTGTAGTGCCTCGGCCTCCCAAAGATGACTCCCAGATATTTGTCCAGGATGTAGGCACTCCAAAAGGTTCTTTTGCGCAGCTGCATTTCGATGTAATTCCCTGTTGGGACTTCTCGGGGTTTCCGTCCCGGTCTTCGATGGAGCCCAAGTGCCGATATGAGCTGGATTGCTGTCCCAAAGACATACCAAGCCTGATTAAAGCGAGAGGTTGTAAGTAAATATAGGACTTGAACAAGTCGCGCTTGTGCAGACTCGAGTGTGGGGCTTGCTGTTTCTTGTTGCACGAGCGAAGAGGCATCAGAAAACAAGGCGTCGGTATGCTCCATTGAGGCTTCCTCGTCAACTTGGAACCGGCCACTAGCCTTGTCCTCGTGAGACTTTGCAATGGCCAGCACGGTCAGGACAATTGCAGCTTTTGCTCGCCCTACTCCACGATGAAGCGGAAAGCCATCCCTGACGTTGGTTGACATGATATACAGCCAACCTTCCACGGTTTGTAGATGAAGAAAGCGATAAGTCGCCATGCAAACATCCGAGTACAGTCGTACAAGCTGCTTTGCCAATTCGAGGGGTGGAAAGTCGACGTGTCCTTGTCTGCCGCGGCCCAGAGGCTTGTCGCCTACGGTCAGAGTTGGGCTATCCTCGTTCTCCGGTTGACTAGGCACAGTAACATTGTATCTGCCTGCCTGCGCACTCGCCTCTTTCGACAAACGCCTGCAAGCTCGATGGAGAAAAGCGAGGCCAGAGGTTGTATCATGATATTGCCCCTGAATCTCCGAGACTTCCAGCTCGGGCGACGCACGCGAAGGCGCGGAGGTCTCATTTCCTCCACGTTGTTCAGACTGAGGGACGGATTCCATTGGAGCATTGACTGCGATGAAGCGTGTGTTCATGCCAGTATTGCTACCCTCCAGGTCTTGGCGACCATAACCATCGCCTTGCACGGCATCACGGTCACCAGAAGAGTGAGATTCTCGCCGATCGGGCGCTCTCGGCGGGCTCACAGGTCTTCCTCGGCTATACTTTGCATCATAATGGCAATCTGGAGAGCGTCCCCGTTTGACACAGCTATCACAGGGCAATGTGCCAGAGCATCTTGCTTTCCGGGCCTTAGTTGCTCGACGGTCAGCTCAGTCTAACCGGACCAAGGGGGCGACATTGCGATAGCCGGATTGTACAATACCTTGCAGACATCACAAGCTCGTGTCACCTTTACGATCTTCCGCTTGACTGGCCGCTCCGCAGAGGCGGAAACGCTGCGTTTCCGCTCCTGTGTAGACGCATGAGCCAGAACGTGCAGGGGCGTACTGGACACGGTCAGTGAAGGCGACGCAACCATGTGTGTGCTCTGTGGGTCTGATGATGCGTCGACAGAAGCTCCTCCTGCATCGTCGTCCTGGCTGCTGCGGCGGTGTACGCCCAACATCTTCGGACGAGAGAAGCAGGTCCGGTGGGCAGCTGAATATCCGCGTCAGGACTCAACGCCAACACCTTAAGCTCACCACGGCGATTCCGGCATCGCCCCGCTAAGGAGCTCACGCAACAGAGTACCGAAGGGCGTGAGAACTATTCGAAGCCCTTTTCCGACGAAGAGCGGAAATCTTCGAGACTGGCAGACGACGCCTTTCAATGGGTTTTCCTCGGGTCATCTGTGCATGTTGTCTTGGCGAACAGTCTGTGGGGGAAGACGAACCTAAGCCGTTTTGGTGTAGGATCGTTTCGTAAAAGTCCAAGCCGCGTGGGCCGAGACGCGCCGTCGAATCAGAGACTTTTCCGCGTGCATAAATCCGGAAATTAGATCCATCTTTTCATGCGGGGCCCCGCGATGTCTGAACCCCATCGCACCACAACAGTCTGGGGAAGAAGCTTGGCCCTTGCCAAGGGAAACGAGCCCGAACAACTGGGTCCCAACGCCCAGAATGCCACCGTTGTCGTTGCTTTGGGGACCCAGGAGATTGGTAATGTACGATTGAGAGTTTGTATAGCCTTTGATATAAGTCTAAAGAGGCTACTCGGTTACAATCAATTAAATTTGATCAGCCGGCCATAGTCTTGTTGCCCCAGATCCAGACACGCAAGTTGCAAGCATCAACATCTGCTCGTGTTATTGGCCGTTGCAGATCAGAGGCTCAACACGTAGCTACTTGCCCAGCGAGGCTACCAATAAACTTCAAGACACCCTGATTCTGATCCAAATTCTTGAAGCCTTTCAAACTTTTTACCAAATTCAAGATGGCAGACAAACCAGATATCTCGATGGTGGACAACCGGAGCATCGAAGAAGGCGATCGTCCCGAAAAGCAGAGCGCCTCGAGGGTCATCGCCAACATTCACGTTCTTGGACTGACTGATGAAGATGCGGAATTCTACGAGAGTTACCCGCCTGAGAAAAGATCAAAGCTAGTCAGCAAGGTGGTGAGTATTCTTGGTGCTTTTCGTCTCTTTGTCTCAACATGATTGAATCTCGATGACTGACATTCAAATTTCAATAGGACTGGCGCCTCGTCCCCATGCTTGCCTGCTTATACCTGATCTCTCAACTTGACCGAGCAAATATAGGAAACGCTAAGATCGAGGGTCTAGATAAGGACCTTGGTCTGTCTGGAGTCCAGTATAATATTTGCAACTCCATATTTTTCGTCCCCTACGTCCTACTCGAAGTGCCCAGCAATATCCTACTCAAGAAGTTCAGCCGACCATCAATATACCTTGGAATACTTGTTACATCATGGGGAATCGTCATGACTTGCCACGGCTTCGTGAAAAACTTTCCTGGTCTCTTGGTTCTCCGCCTCATCTTGGGATCACTTGAAGCCGGATTCTACCCAGGAGCTGTCTACCTGTGCACCTTCTGGTGTAAGTCTTCACATGTTTGCCCAGCTCCTTGGTCACCTGCTAAGTTCGCCTCAGATATGCCCAAGGAACTCGCTACAAGGATTTCCATTTTCTACTGCGCGAGCTCACTCTCGGGGGCTTTCTCCGGTCTCCTCGCAGCTGGTATCGCAGAAATGGACGGAGTTGGAGGCTACAGCGGCTGGCAATGGATATTCATCTTAGAAGGCCTGCTTACCATCGCATTAGGAGTAATGACCTTCTTCCTACTTGTTGACTCCCCCCCGGTTGTCTGGAAAGTGGCTCAACCCTGAGGAGATTCGATACCTGGAGCTCCAGACTTTCATCAAGCAAGGTGGTCGTATGAATGAAGAGAAGGAAAGCCGATTCCACTGGGGCGACTTCAAGGCTGTCGTTACCAACCCGAGGATTTATGGACAGGCTTACATCCTTCTCGCAATCTCTGCTTGCTCATATGGTAAGCAGATTTATAAAGTCTGCCCACGATGGAATGGTAGCTAACACCAGTGCCAGGCAACAAGTTTACTCTTCCTTCTATCACCAAGGCTATGGGCTTCACAAACACCAACGCCCAGTTGATGACAGCTCCACCATATATTGCTGGAGCCCTGTCAGCTCTTTTCTTCGCCCGTCTCTCGGACTACTACTACTGGCGTATGCCATTCGTCGCCATCCCTCTCATGCTCATTGCAGTTGCCTACAGCATCATCATCTCATTCAAAGGCGACCTTGCTGGTCATGTTGGCGCATCCATGTTCAGCGCCGTGCTAGCCTGCATAGGTATCTATCCTGTTCAGCCATCAGGTAGCTCATGGAACGCGAACAACCTTGCTCCGGCTGGTCAAAGGGCTATAGGCGTTGCTTTTGCTATCTGCATCGGTAACGCGGGAGGTATTATCGGAAGCTTTATGTATCTCGAGAGCGAAGCTCCAGCCTATCCGACCGGTTTCGGCCTCGCGATTGCTTTCGGTCTGTCTGGCGTACTGGTTGCTCTTGCATTGGAGGCGTCTTATGTTTTGAGCAACAAGAAGAGAGCTAAGATGTCTGAAGCTGAGATACGGGCCATGTATAGCGAGGATGTACTTATCGGTATGGGGTCAAAGTCACCATTGTTCAGATACACGACCTGATCGAGGAATCGGGTACATTTATTTGGGAAACCCTATATTAGAACTTGGGATAATCAAACAATAAAAGACTACCTACTCATAAGAGAAGGTATTGATTCCTTGAGAAATTCTACGGATGCCAAAAGCTCGATCATCGCTTACTACCTACTTATTTCGTAGGAGACTTTGCACAAGATTTACTCAGTAGAATCGCCATAATCTTTATCAGTTAGTGCTTTTCCATGCAGAAAAGAGAACTTTATTAGCCAGCCACGAAATGAGATTGGAATTATATCACCGATCGTCCGTGTCCGTTCCCGTATTACGGTACGTGTGCAAGCGATATTGGGCAATTACTCATCTTTCATCCGACACCAGAGTATGAGAGTCACAGTCAGCTTACGCCGAGAATTATAGTTTATGTTGTGTTCAGCAACGGACGTAGATCCAAGCTCCGCACCCGCTACGGTATTTTATAAAGAAGCTTTCGGGCCTTACTCTACGCTCAATTATCATCACCGAACAATTGCTAGGATACCAAATACTCCATCTCCACGGAAGTCATCTAGCATCATTGAAAAGTACCAAGCAGAGAGAATGAATTGGACGGGGTGGCTGTTCTCTCTTCTGAGCTTTAAGACTGTCGTTTCAAATACAACACGGAAATTGTATGCGACAAATTATGGAGGGACAGTCACGCATCTATCTCTCGTGGAACATCAAGGCATCTACTCATTTCATCCGCTCGCCGAGACCTACGACTGTGGCGATAACCCAGCCTGGATGGAATTGGACAAATCCAGAAGCATGTTGCTGTGCCTTAACGAAGCCTATGTGAGTTTTGACTACCCGCTCGACAGTACGTCACCAAGCCATAGTCATTGGTCTTACTCTTACAGTAGACGCTACCAACTGCTGGATCCCTAGCGGCACTTGATCCAGAGACACTCGCCGTGACTAGCAACATTACCACTTTGCCTCAGCCGGCAGCAGGGCACACGTACGCGCTACATCGTATGGCTCTGGCTCACTACGGTGGTGCAGGCCTTTCTGTGATCGATACTAGCAATTCAAGCAATCTTATCGAGCTGCAGCGCTTTCATTACGAGCATAAGCTGCAGCCAGGACAGTACCCTCCGCTCCAGGACCAGTCTTATATCCACGGCGTCGCTATCGATCCCACTGGTCGCTTCGTTGTTGCCTTCGACCGTGGCGCTGATGTCATTCGGAAGTACAAAATCGGTGTCTGGGATGGGCGGCTCGATGAGCTGGGTTTCCAGCGCGTGGATCCCGCCAATGCGACAAACGGGGCTCGACATGGTGTATTTGCGAAAGGCAACGCAGGCAAAACTTTCTTGTACGTACTTGGGGAGCTGACGAGCTCCCTGCTGGGTTTCGAGGTCATTTACAACGAATCTGCCGGTGATTTGGAGTTTAAATCCATCTACAAGGACAGTATCTTTCAAACAGGCTTCGGCGACGGTGTTGGGCTAGCCATTCCTGCGGAGATTGCGCTTACAGAAGACAATCACTTAGTATTGTCCTCGAGGAATGACACGAAAAGTATGTACCAGGGAGAACCGAGCGACACGCTGGTCACTTATGAGATCGACCTTGACTCTGGCGACCTCAGGCTCATCCAACTGTCTGCCTCGGGGGGTGAATGGCCTCGCAGTTTCTCTATCAGCGCAGACGGAACTCTGGTTGCGGTGGGAAACCAACACTCGATCCCAGGTAGAATCACAGTGTTTAGTAGGGATCCGACTACAGGCATCATAAGTGACGAGACGGCGCTCGCTGTCTGGACGTCGTTTGTTGCCTTGCCGGATGGTGAGAGTTGGTCTATGGTGTTGTGGGACGAGTAAGTAGCCGCTCATGTTTGAGCCCAAACCCGCATGATAGACCTGGAATGGTGAAGTTTTCTCTCTTGACTGCGCTTATCATTTGTAAGAGCTGTCGACCACTTTGATTGAATCGGTCAAGGCAAAGAAGCTTTTGAGCATAATCAACAAGGCTGGGAAAATTGTACACCTAAGCACCGTGAAACAGGACCGGGATTTCCGAGCTGTGCGGGGACTGATCGCTTCCCCGGACTTTGTGACGACCCCGGGCCCGTCTCCAATGGTAAGTAAGTTGTCGGTGTTGCTCAGACTACAAATCCCAGAGTTCGAGGGATTCCAATTTATCCTTGTCTATTGCACGGGATGTTGGCGGGGTAAGTGTCGACTGCCCGCCGGTATGTGGAGCCGTGAGGTCTGGGTGATCGCAGTTGAAGGGTAAATCATACCCGATATATGCTACCTACACATGGCAGCAATTCGATCATAATCATCAATTGGGCCTGCGCGCTAGTTTCGTCATGTTAGCCAAGGGATTGTCTCTAACATGCGTCGAATGTGCTTCTGCTTGTTCCCTGTTCCCCGGAGAATCCGATCAACTGTTCCTTGGAACAATCCGGACCCCCACCACGAATATATCAATAGGTAAGCCATCTGGACAGCCAGGAAAGGTTCTACATAGCAGGCAAAGATTCAAGTCATATCGTCCGGAAATCAGCGTCTTCCAATATGGCCCAATCCCAGGATACCCACTCATTCAAAGTGATCATTATTGGGGCTGGCCTTTCCGGGAGCCTCTTGGCCAATGGTCTTATCCACGCCTCTATTCCCGTCACAGTCTACGAGCGTAGCGAGGAGAACTTTAGCAGTGGAGGCTATCAGATCCACCTAGGAGAGTCTGCACTCATTGGTTTGCGTGCCTGCATGTCCGAGGCCGAGATAGCGTCCGTGGTGGCAAAATTTGGTAGGGCAGGTGGAAGGAAAGGCCAAGCGGCGATGCTGAGGCACAAAGATTTTAGTCTGCTCTTGGATCTCAAGGCATTCCCCGACTACACCAAGTCCGCACCTATCAAGCGGGGGATTCTGCGGGACGCGCTGGCTGCGCCCTTGGCGCAGGCGGGCGTGGTCAGGTACGAGAAGAGATTCGTGAGGTACGAGATTTTCGATAAGGGGGGTCAGGAACGGGTACGGGTTGTCTTTGATGACGGGTCGACTGATGAATGCGATCTTTTGGTCGGCGCGGACGGGAGCAGTTCCAAGGTAATCACAACCGCTTTTCGTCTGCCTAGGTATAGACGTCCCGCGCTTACCAATAGTGTAGGTCAATCAGCAATTGGGACTGAACAATCTCACCGAAATCAAGACTCATGTCCAGTTACTAATCAAACAAGAGCTTCCCACGGAGACGCTGCTTACTTTGGGCCGGGAGTTCACTTCTGGCCCTGTATTGGCGTTCGCAGATAATAAGACATTCTACTTCTCCGGTAAGCTAGCATAATGCCTTGTACTAGCAAAATCTTTGACTAATCACTGGACCAGCATACGTGCCGGAAGGGGGGGACAAGTCCTCCTTCGATGAATTCTCCTCCTGTTCTGTTGGCGGTGCATTTCCCATAGAAACGGCCCCAGCCGACCTGAAGGATCGAAGTCCGGCCGAGAAGTGGAACTTTGTCTCGAAGGGTTTTGCAGAATGGGCGCCTCAATTGTAAGTAACATGAGCCGTTCCAAGATGTTGTTGTTGACTCGCTCGCAGTCACCAAGCTCTCGAAGTAGTTCGTCACTCCGATTTTATGGTGTACCCCGCTCGAACGAGCTCGCGTCCGACAAAGGACTGGAGACGGAAGGTCAAATCCGAGCATGATCCAACAAAGGGCACTCCCCGAGTTTGGCTTTTAGGGGACGCGATGCATGCCATGTTTCCGTATAGGTGAGCATGCACTCCTATTGACTGATGCAAGTACCTTGCTCACCACGTGGACGCAAAGAGGGCAAGGCGGTAACCAGTCCATGCGAGATGCCGCAATGGCGCTTCCGTTACTTGTCCAACTTGCTGAGAGGGCAAGATCCGGTGAGCTGAGTGACAAACATGTCGAGGACGCATGTGAAACATTCGAGGGTGAGATGATTCCACGCACATTCGAATGGGTTCAGAAGAGTGGTGGAAAGGAAACCATCGTAAGTGTCGCAACATTCCTGCGAGACCAGAGCTTCTCTGACTTGAGGTTAGCCTTTCGACTCTAGTAAAATTGGCACACGGATCCTATTTGCCATCGCTGCCAAGCTAGTTCTCTTCGCACCGTTGTGGGTTTCAGTCAAACGGCTGCTTGGGTTTTCTGAGCCCGTGAACCTGAATGACGCTCCCGAGCTAAGAGATTGAGGAGATGAGGAGATTGAGAAAGAACAAGCACCAATAAAGCTTCCGTGGAATCTTATTCACCCAATTAGATCCGCAGCTTCTGCTGGTACCGTAGTATGTTGGAGCGGTGTTTCTTCCATTGGTTTGTTTGCTCAAGCTTACGCCCAGGTCTGGTGCATCGCCTGCAGAGACTGTCCTTTTCAAGATCAGATATAGCCAACAGATAGCTTCGAATTCGAAGAACTCTTTCCATTATGGGTGTCACTGTCCTTGGTGTAACCGCCTTAGTGGTGCAGCCTTGTCTTGACCTAAAATGGCATAGCAAGACTAGAGCCTTGCATCACTCATGCTTGGCTCAGCCTGACTTCTAGCATGAGTACTGCGCACGCTAGTCGATCTCTTACAATATTCGTGGAGTACCCAATAAACTCCTTCTGCACAAAGCTTCAAGTGTCAGTCTCGAGTGGTTTATGCTCTCGAATTATAATTAACAATCACCAATACTTAGTGCCGGGCAGGCGGTCAGCTACCGTTAAAGACGAAACAGTCCGATATCATTCCACACCCACCTGGTCGAAACTGTCATCAACAATTTCTACCATAATTCCGTAGTACTTCTGAGTTCGAAAATCAGATCAAAACAACCTACCGGCTAAAAGTCAACTGAAATTCGGGCATGTTTTTAAAGGTCGAACACTCACTTTCGGAAGAAAGTTTTTGACCCCGGCTTGTCCAAAGGGACGATCCCACTCAATAAGGTTCGGCGGATCCTTCGCCCCTCTTTGCTGAGACATGATGCACTATAGCACCGTTCACTAAGGATCCCTCGACTGACCTGGAACTTTGGGAACCAAATTTCATCCGTTCGGTGCATATCACACAATGGCTGTGATTTCGTTGCCGTTCGGGCTCAGTCTGGCTCAGACGATCGGCCTCGCAGCACTCGCGGTGGTGCTGTACCATGCCATCAACATCATCTACAACCTGAGACTCCACCCACTCTCATCCTTCCCTGGGCCTCTAGCTCATCGCGCCTCCCGTATCCCTTACACCCTCTCCATCCTGCGCGGTCGGCTTCACAGCGACACCGCCGCCCTTCACCGCAAGTATGGGCCTGTTGTCCGCGTTGCACCGAATGAGCTAGCCTTCGCGGATCCATCGTCATGGAAGGACGTCATGGGCGGCGGCTCCAAAGAGCTGGCCAAGTGGGGCGAGGCATATCTCATCCCTGAGTTCATGGCGCCTCATCTGCAGAACACAGTGGATAAAGAGCATCACAAGATGCTCCGAAGAGCCGTGGCTCCAGGGTTTAGCGACCAGAGCTTGAGGGCGCAAGAGGGGCTTATCAGGAAGTACATCGAAAACCTCATCGACAGACTCAGAGAGTCTTGTATCGCTGAAGAATCTTCTCATGGCAAGCTTGACCCAGAAGCCGAGAAGTCTGGCGCTAGAGATCACACGGCAGTTTTCAACCTGGAGAATTGGTATCGCTTCACTGTGTTCGACATAATTGGTGACTTGGCCTTGGGCGAGTCCTTTGGGTGCTTGAATGGTGCCGACTTCCACCCTTGGATCAGGGGAATGACCGATGCAGGCAAGGCCATGTGGCTTCTCACCGCTGCGAGCATGTATCCTGTGGCCAAGAAGGTCACCAACTGGCTTTTCCAGACAGTAGCTACAAGGGGCTTCGAGATGCACAATAACAGGGTGAAGCCCATGATGGAGAGGCGGATGGCTCAGGGCACAGCTCGTCCCGATCTGATAAATCCTATTATAATGAAGAAGGATGAGTGGGTAAGTAGATATCCCCCCGATTCATGTATCGGTCCGATGGCATTGAGCTGACTATGAAGTAGAATCTCACGGCGAACGACATGATCTCTCACGCCACTGTCTTCATTGGCGCGGGCAGCGAAACAACCGCGGGAGTCCTGACCGCGGTCACGTCGTTCTTACTTGAGAACCCCGATAAGCTGCAAAGGCTGAAACAGGAAGTCCGTTCCGTGTTCAAATCGCAATCCGAGATTTCCCTAGATGCTGTCAACAGTCAGTCACCGTGATCTTGTAGCCTGCACTGAGGAGGCGCTGAGGCTCTACCCTCAAACGGGCGTGCCCTCTCTACGGATATCTGGAGACAACGACATCATCTGTGGCATTCCGGTGCCCCCAAAGGTATGAATAGCCAGCCAATATGCTGGTCAAAAAGTCGATTGTATGCTGACGATGTCGGAAAATCTAGACGGTGGTGGGAATTTGGGTGTGGTCGATGTACAGGGACCCGAAACTGTTTGCGAACCCGGATGAGTTCCACCCCGAGCGATTCCTTGGTGATCCTCAGTACGCCAATGATGAGCGTGAGGCTCTGAAGCCATTCTTCACTGGAGCAAGAGATTGTATAGGAAGGAAGTAAGTAAGTGGGAGGTGAATTCTGAGAGTCGTCTGGCTAACGACGTCATATTCTAGTCTCGCTGTCATGGAGCTTCGCCTCATCCTTGCCCATATGATTTACAACTTCGACATGGAGGTGCAGAGAGATAGCAGACACTGGGCTAAAGATCAAAAGAATCTTTTTATTGTGTGGGACAAGCCACCTTTCAACGTCAGGTTGAGACCTGTAGGGCAGTGATAGCTTGGATCCGTAGATCTCAGGAATTCGCTGCCTGTTATATCTACATTACACTTCATATTTCCATACAATCTCATTTTGATGAATGAAAACAAGCGAGAGTCGGGTATGACCCTTATTCGGGGGCCCACCAAAGGGCCGGGGAGGTGAGGTACTGTGAAGGTTCGTCCTGTTAACCGAGTCCTTCAGCAACCTCAACCTCAAATGCATGACATGAACGCCAATTCCCGGTAAGACTGTGCGCCAACGCCCCCAAACGGCATATGATATTACAGTTCGTGATATTGCATGGTGAGTTTGCGCTCGTCCGATTTTCCAACACGTCAAAGCGCGTCATACAGGATGGAACGCCTTCTGGTTCGGCAAATCGAAAGTCATCTCATCTTCGGCGTCTTCAATCTTCGAATTTGGCGGCAGCCAGACCTTGTTGAACACAATTTCTTCCGACTCAGTACCCCCGAGCGATGCTGTCGAGCTTCGGTCTGCAGCTGGCAGCTTTGTAAGGTCGATGGTGTCTGGGTACAATTCTGGGTGTGATCTCTTTCTGCTAAATGCGCTCCTCTGGCTGTCGTAGTCCAACTTGTCTTGTGGTCGGTGTTGATATCTCCTCCCATTCCTGAACTCCTGCAGGCGACGAGGCGTGAAGATAGGCTTCAAGGCTGGAACGCTGGCGCAAAGAATGGCAACGTTGATCTCTATTTGTGAGAAAAGATTCACCTGTGCAGACACACCAGTCAGCCCTGATCTGCTGTGGTAGACGAACAAGCAAATGAGAGCGGCATCTTACTGCAATAGCGTCGCGAAAGGGGTCGGTGGCCAGGGTGTATGTGTAAATGCTTTGCAGGCGCACAACCGACATGATAGCAGCAAAAATGCCGGCGCCAAAAATGATAGCGAGGGCAATTTTCTCCTGAAGCGGCCGTGTAGTTGAATTCAAAGTTTTGATGGGTAATGCTATGATCCAAAAGTCTGTTATGATATTGACACCTGAGGTCGCTAGTGGGAGGTCAGCGAGGCTCCTTTTCTGAGAAAGGCTCAAAGGAATAGGCTCACAGTAAAAGAATGCCGTGGTATTGATACAATCACCCGGTTGTGTTCCGGTGAGGTCCCATAACTTGCTAAGTGGCTGACATTGACCTAATGTCACACAGATGCAAATGGCTGTAAAGACAAGTTGGAAGACAATGGTGCCATAGCACAGATAGCGAAAGATTTCAGATACCGCTGCGAGCACAGAATTAGCAGATGCGGTGTCGGTCCATAGACAGTTTCAGCATACCAAATCTGAGATACATGCAGAGAATGGACGTCTTGATGAAGCCGACGATGAGGTAGTAGGTCACCTCGACTGCCAGCGTGGTTTGCAATATCTCCAACATGTTGTCCATGGTTAACGTCGAAGCTGGGAAGCCGACGTGATTCTGTCTGAGGAACATGATCTCGATCATGTAGCCTATGGTGAAGAACAGTGCGACGATGATTGTGTATTCATCATAACTGGGCTTTCGTATAATGACGAAGCGTATTAATGACCGTATCGCAACAACAACCGCTGAGATATGCGAGATCAGCACTCCGCGCTTTGAAATCACCTGGACACATCAGATACAGGAGGCTATCACTTACTGGACAGTGTTGTGAGAACGATGGACAAAATGACAAGACTGTCCTGCCGTTGCTGATCGGTCTGCGACATTATGCTTGATCTGGTGGAATGATTATGAATACAAGGGCCGGACTCTCACGGGTGGATCAACACACGATAGCGTGGTGTTGTTAAAAGGCTTGGCTTTGCAGGGCTCAAATGCGAACCAGTCGCGAGGCCCTTAAACGAAAGATGTAATATCACAGATCATGCTGGCAATATTAAGCCGATAACGAGTGGAGACGAGCGGTTCTAAATACGCAGTTTCGCCTTTAAAGCTTTGATCATATCCCGCCGTTTGGGAACGCGATGACAGTGGGAGATGGTTGTCGCTGGGCTGGATTGTGGAAAGAAAACATTGAGTGACATGTTCTGCCCAATAGATGGTTGCAACCGACATTACGCCGGTGAATGTTTTCCAGCTGAGCTTGTGATTGTGCGCTGTACTTCTCGATAGACTCGGGCTAGTGAGCCTTCTGATACTGATGTGGAACGCTTTTGGGAGCTTGGGGTGAGCTTGGAGTGAGCTTACGACCCGACAATCCGGGGGAATTCTCGATCTCGACGGGCCTCAAATGTACGCACGGGCTGATGTTTGCCCCGTCACCTGCACACGCCCGTAGTGACCAGACGCTGTGTCAATTCTAGTACTTCTGACAGCTTCTTGCGTGTACTGTACGGAATTAGCTGGGGTCGGGGCCGGTCAAGCTTTTTGGGCAGGGATAATACCCAGCCCGGTGGACGATCGATCTCGGAACCAACCCGTTTCAGGCACAGAAGCCGTGGACTGTAATTGTCTGAGCAGGTCTTGGCCCAATCATCTATTGGTGATCTCGTCGTGGCCAGCCATGGTAACAATTTCTATCACAGGTAAAAGGTCACCGTAGCTCTTAAGCTCCTTCGTGCCTGTAACGTTGAGGTCACAAATTTCGTCAGCAATATTTCACCACTGATGAACTTCCGACATTCATGGTCGGAAGCGCCAACTAAATTTCATCTAGGACTCCATCTTAGAGCCTGTGCTCCGAAGCCCGATGCAATGTGAAAATTCCCCGACTTCGTCCGAACTCTGTCGACGAGCTGAGCACGTTGGGGATTCATCTGAAAAACCACAGGCAAAAGCTCTGCAGAACAACAGGATATGATCTGCGAGTAGTGTTGCAATAGGCCCCCTGGAAACACCCGTGAGCGTGGCTGGGGAATTGGAGAGGCTCACATACTTTCCGAGGTGGGCTTACGCATCCGATCCTCCAGGGCTTGGCCCTGAATCCTTCCTAATGCAATTTGCCGCCTTCGACTGCGCTCCGTAGATGCTTTTGAAGCATAAGCGAGCACAAAGTATACGCGACCAACAATTATGCAGCATGAATAGGTGGATTTGCCACTCAAGAATCCAGGAAAAGGAATTCGCATCGGTCAGCTGGGCTAAATTTCATTTGAGATCATAGACTTGGAACACTGTCACTGTGATGGTGAGTCCTATATACTTCAAGGTCACCGTGGCAATGTACTCCGCAGTACCACTCAGTCTTGTCTACCACCTAGCAATTAAACTTTAACACACTCCCAAGCTTGCCATGACCTTGTGAGAGCCTTGGAAAAGTAACCAACCACTCCAACGCTGTGCACAGTACAGCAGCCGTCCTAGATCAATGCGTGAGACAGTGTTGCGAACGGACAGAATTCAACGCTGCTTTAATCATTGAAAAAGTCGCAGCATGTCAGAAAAGAACCCATCGCCTTCCAGTTGGAACCACAATCCACGGAGTCCACGCCAACTCACCGGATCCTGGCTCCAGACCCGGTGGAGTGTCGAAACCCCTGTCTTACCTGCGCTCTCGATATCGTGTTCGGGCACGGAAAGTGCGGAAACCTTCGTGGCCGCCGGGATGATTTGGATTTTCATTAATTCGCCGCCAGGAACAAGTTTCGTGCCAAGCTGCCAAACACTGCGCAGCACAGGCCATGTTATCAAACCACAAAGGTCGGCAACCTTTAGGCCCGCACACGGGTTATAGGAAACGCACGGTAGCCCAAGCTGCACGTAATCTGCGCATATGTCTCAGAGATGCCATTAAGGCCATCGAGGCAATAGATATAAATATCATGGTTATAATGCAGGCCTGCAACTCTATCGGTCATCACAACTATCCCCGCGGTCAGACTTCAGCCACGCTCAGCGCCTACTGGGCGCTTGATGATACTCAGGCACCAAGATGGCGGTGGTCACAAAGTTCTGGTAACGAAATCTTATTTCGAGTCTGCCACGGGCAGGAGTCGAGTTTTCAAAGATTACTATCATCTTCCGTGTTTCATGGGGATGGCACGTTTGGAGTTGGGAGCACTGGACCACTCGTATCCCGTGCCGAGTTGTAAGCCCCCTGCCGGACCACGCCACAGGAAACCTTAATTCGTCAGCTCTCTTCTCCCCTGGCCACCTCCAATACGACGGCACGACCCATCAGTTCGCAACGGGGACTCGGGAGTTTAAACCATTTGTTCCCCACTCCAGCTTCTCCACGCATCATCGGTATGGGCCGGCCATCAGGTGCGACTGGGGCCAGGCGTGGAGATGCAGAAGCGGCATGCCGACAGACGGCCATCCAAGTCTCGAATGCGGCATCTTAGTTTCCGATGCGCTTCAGTGAGCGGATGTGTCCGCCGTGCACAGCGCCGGCTGGTGAATTCACCCGAGGGCGGTCCGTGAACCCTTTCGCCGGCTCGCTGGTTTCAGTGCTTTAACAGCCATCAGATCCACGGGGTCACGTGTGCAATACTTGAATGCTGTATAGTTTCGCGGCAGCCAGTACATTGCATCCGATATTGAGCCTCAGGCTTTGGAGATTCTCCGACCACGAAATTGTTGGAAAAATGATAGATCACATCCACTCACCCCTACCACAGTAGTGGCCCAAGGCGCCTCGAGCCCAACACAACATGATGGCGGAGCCAAACCAACATTTGCAGAAATCAAGTTTTGGGAGGTCGGAAGAGTTTCGTTGCCCAATTTCCGACACCCTCACTACTAGACCAGCTCTGTTCCCAACGAATGAGCTCTTGGATATTACAAAGTGGTTATGTGGCGGCTTGTTCGGCATGAACTATAGACAGCCATTCTGCTCCTTCGCAAACTTTGAACAACACGATGAACGGTCTTTATCTTGGCATCTTGTGGCATCCGGACACTCGTAATCTGGGGACAAAGGATGTGGGATGGTTTATGCATCTTCATGCGTCCAATACTGAATGAGCCCTGCTGTGTTGTGTCGGAAGAGGACCCTATTTCCCCTAGCGAACGTCGATCACTCCAGGTGTCTTAACTCAAATGTGTTTCTTCGAGATGGTTACCAACACCGTGGTTTCTCTGCGAGCATGCCTGCAGGACACTGGGAAGAAGTGATAGCCCGAGCGAGTGTTCCATCTGTTGCCACAGACGCGAACCAACGTACCGTTGCGACACGTATGTGATATGTTGGCTGTAACTAGGGAGCGCCAAGTGATGGAAGATGCTACATCTGACCAGCCATCGCAATACTTCGGGTCACCTTACCCCGGCAGTCTTTGCGACACATGATCAAGCCCGGGTGACATAGGACACGAGAGGGGAGCAGGAAATCCGCCGACTTCTTTCTTGTTGGGCATCGATACTGCCTCCAAGAGAACCATGGAAATGATTGAAATTACTTTGGCGGTCGTTGTCAACCTTTTGAGCTGCAAGCTACACCTAGGAAGAGGTCAGCAGCGCCTGAACGTTCTTCACTAGATGGTGTACAGCAATAGATTCAGGGTATCATTGGGCACCTTTCTCATTTTATCGTAGGTTTGTTCGTTTCAGTTACAGTTCTTGAGATGCTTCTGGTACATAGAGAGAAAACATTCAAATTGATTGACGCAGAGGTTAGGGCTTTACCTTCCCGCGATACCTAGATTAGAGATTTGCTCATTGTTTCACTACCCGGCTGACCCTCCATAGCTCGGCACACCCAATTATATTGTTTCAGATACGAAAGGAAGGGGGGGGGGGGTTTCGGAGTTGTTCTTCGCGACGTGGACGAAGGATCTACGAGAACGATTTCAAAGTCAAGAAATAGAACACCACCGGCATCTATGGATGTCAGACCCGGATAAGTGGGCGCCTTCACCAGTGGCAAAAAGCACCTCCAAAGCCAAGATCATTACGGGCTTCAATCAAGAAAATACATTCAGCACGCGGCTTCTGAGAGATCCAGTGGCCGCAGTAATGAACAAAATGCGATAGCAAGCTGCCCAAAACACCATGCATCATTAGAGTAAAGAAACTCGGTGAGAATTGTGAAATGAATGAAGGCTTGCGCATCAGGTCATATGAGACCTGTGCCTATTTAACATATGAAGTGATTCCCTTAAGACAAATCCGGCAACAAGCGACCAAACTTCAAGTGATGCTCCCAGCCGCACACCCTACTCTCTGCCTATCAACACTAAGAACACCGGGAGACTACAGAAATGATGCTTGAGAACTTTGTCTTGACATCGAGGTCCTCAGTGACCGCCGTTTAGGTGCTGATGTCCGCTCCCACGACTCGTTATCTCTTCTAGGTGTCCACGGCGAGGGTGGTTGCGGCAGGCTGTACGATTGTCGGTAAGCCATCTCTTCAAGTCATCAACTCCCAGTGGCCTGTTGATCCAATGCACAGATTGGGTTTCACCATTGTCATGGGGATAGTCCTCAAAACCGGCGCCCACCCAGCCCATACGATCGAATGCGTCACTTGCCGCAGCCGATGACGCGCAATCAACGACAGAATCATAATGTGGATGGGCCAGAAAGATAGGCGTTCGTCTTCTGCCTAAGGTCGTACGCCTCTGAACGATGCCACAGTTGTGATCGACACTAGGTGGTGGTACTACGATGTCGTGATCATCTGATGGATAGGGCCGTGTGAACAAGGAGCCGAACCTGGTGGGGTGAAGCAAGGCTCGCGCATTGGAAACCCATCTCCAGAAGTTGTCAGGACTGCCGCCTTGAATCATGCTGACGTGAGGTAGCCAGCCATTGAGGCCGAATAGACCGGCGAAGTCGCCCTCTCCGTCCACGAGGAATGCAGCGGCTGCCACGGCAAATCCCTGACCATGGCCGCCGATGTAAATTTGGTGGCGGCGCACAGATTTCTGTTCATTCCGGATGAGATTTAGAATACCATCGATGGAGACCTCCAATTCGTGGGGATCGTCGAGGGCGGGGCTGTCCTGTTGTTGAAGTGGGTTCGGTATAGTAAACCACTTCACCGGAATTTAGAGTCAGCACTGAGAGGATCTTGAATGCGAGAATGAAAAGTGGTTGAGCAGGCATGGAATTCCTCCAAGGACACTTCTGTGTGTAGATGCCGACATCGTCTATTGTGAAGATACAGAAGTTCTGGAAACTTACCCTGCGTACAGTGGCTTGGTTTCCGATTTGGAAGGGGGCGTGGGGGAAAACCCATCGAAAACAGTCGAGCACATTGACTAGTCTGCGAGGATGAAAATCGTTGCCGGGGCTGCATCTGAGTTCGAAAAAATCCGAACCCAATGCGTCCGCGTCCTCCTCGTTGTCGTGCAGCATGATCACAGTGTGCGAGTGACGGACGGTACCCGGCGGGTTAATGACCTTGTAGTCCAATTGCACTGGAGGAGCTGCCATATTCGGAGCTGGTCAACTTTCTTCCTCCCTTGATTTTGTGTCCCGTACAGATGAGGCTGTATCGAAAATCCGAGAATATGCCAAGAAGCGAAGACGGTGGCGTGAGATGTGGAGGTTGTTAGAAGCAGGTCTCGATACGGGAGAGACGGAGGAGAGGGAGCAAGGCAAGATGTTTGTTATTGACTGAATGAGATCTAACATGCCTTCCTTTGCCCATTGAAGCCGACAGAGGCAGGAGCTTCTTGAGCTTCGCACGAAAAGGTCTGGGGGGAAGCGGCAACGTACTCGAACCACGGGCAAGCACGTCAAGCACGACATTGGAAGGATCGGGTGACCTGGCGAGAGTAGTAGTCTTTGAGTCGCGAAGGCGGCGTCATTGTTATACATGGAGAGAAGTAGAGAAGCGCATATTCGGAGCACAGTCAGAGCAAGCGAGCCCACGGGCGTAATCCTGCTGAATTCTGTCCTGAAACTCCGTCGCTACAGAACAGGTGGTAAGGAGATCGCAAGTGCGATTTCAAAGTATACCATCAATATTTTCAAAGTAGGTCTTGCTGAAAGGAGTCTACACATAGATAAGTTGTCACAGAAAGAAGCAAGCGTTCTTAGGAACAAGTGTAGTGGCGATTTGAGCCTTGTGTGATTCAGTTGTTGCGATACCAGTCCTCGAAAGAAAGAGGTCACACAAACACTGTATAGTGATCAAAGTAATATACACAATGGAAGAGAATGGCCCGAACAGGAGAAAGCCTGGCTTCGTCCTGCTTGTGCTCATCCATCCTCAGAAGAAAATAACAGGCGGGTCCACCCGCAGGACGTTTGTCCCAAGCCCGTAGTAACCACACCTAAGCTGCGACCTTGCTCTTGATAAACGTAGCGGCGGCACTGGTGTCAGACCCGTAGCCCAAGTGGCCCATAGCACTAGCACTCGTGGTGCCACCAGACGAAGGCGAAGAAGCAACCCCAGAAGAGCAGACAGTATCGCCCGAGGCACAGTAGGACTTGAACGCCCCGTCCGGGATGCCCTTGACAGCCTGGCCAACGAAAGGGTCGCCAAACGTCACGGCGGCCTTGACCTTGCCCGCCTGCGCCGAGGCCAGGTTGTTCATGGTGTTGTGCACGAGCATCGCGCCCTGCGAGTACCCGGACAGCACGATCTGCGTGTCGGGGCAGCTGGACAGCGCCGACTGCACCGCCTTGACCATCGCCTGCGTGCCGGCGCCGCCCGAGGGGGAGATCTCGGTCGCGATGCCGCCCGCGTCCGCAGCATACGCCACGCCCGTGACGGTGGCGGAAGAGCCGAGGGCTTTCTGGAGGCCGGGGCCGACCACGCTGCCCAGGGTGCCTGCCTCGGTCGTGCCGCGGGCGAAGATGACCGTCACGGCGTTGCAGTCTGCGGCGGCGGCGGCGGTGTTGGCTGAGGTGGAGGTGTCGGCGGTGTCGGCGGCGGCGTCGCTTGTGCCTGTGCTTGTGCCCCCCAGGAGGCCGGATAGGTCAAGCCCGGAGCCGGTGCTGTCCCCGCCCAGGCCGGGGAGGCCGGTTGGAAGGGCAGGAGTTCCCGAGCCTCCTCCCAGTCCTCCAAGCAGTCCAGTGGGAATCGGCAATGATCCTGAGCCAGTTCCACTGCCGCCGAGTCCCCCAAGAAGGCCGCTAGGAATGGGCAGGATTCCGGAGCCGGTGCCATCGCCACCCAGGCCTGGAAGACCGCTTGGGAGAGATGGGATGCCGCTGCCGGTCCCGGTGCCGCTACCTAGCCCTGGCAAGCTTTGACGAGTGTTCTTCGAGAACAATGGCAGTCCGGCCGCCGTGGCGGAGAAGTATGCGACGAGGAGAGCTTGGTAATGCATTGCTGCTGTTGTAATGGCGACTTTGTTTGGTCGAAAAGGTTTATTCGGGGAAGCGAAGCGAGGTGGATGGAAGTGAAAGGCGGCCTCAAGCCTGCGAGGTTATTGTTCTTGAAAAGGAGTATGTGAAGTGAAGAACGCCGGTGATGGAAGCGAGTGTGAAAAGCGTTGATGGTTCCTGATAGAGGACTGGTTCGACATATTCACGGCTTTCCTCAGGAGGACTTCACCAACACTTATAGATGGCAAGACAACAAGCGACCATGGGAGGCCATCCTCTCTTTCCTCTTCCGGTAATCAATCCGGATTTCTGCAGGAAAATGATTCATCGCATGAGGCTGCAATATGTCTGTGGCGTTAGCACGAGCACGTTCGGAGCCGATGTCTTGAAGGTTGACTACCCAGGCCAGTCTGGAGCAGCCCACATCGCCCATGTCTGCACCTCGAGCCCTCACCAAGCCACTAGGAAAAGGAGAAAATCACAACACCCTGTGGCAGCCCACCCATATTGACGTCGGCATATTCTCGTGCAGGGTATATGCCGTGGCTGAGCTAGAGCAGCAAGGCCGGGCCAAGGTTCACGACACTCACTCCTCCTCCATTAACGAACCGCTGCCCGAAACATCTAATATACACGCTCCCCGGCTATCCCTCCCTGGACTCCAACCATTTGGAGCGGCGAAAAAACAACGCTCGGACACAGCTGTCTGGTCCGTCAAATTTCTCTCCGATGCCAGCCCAGCCAAACGGTCTGGCCGTTGAGAGCCAGGCCCGCTTTGATAGGGCTTGCTGTGCTAGCAACACGAGCGACGTTGAGTCATGAGAACCTGCGAGAGAAAGGAGGGTGAGCTGAGTTCACATGTGCCGTGGTATATACATAGAACAGGGTTGTAGTCCTTCATCCGACCTTTCGGTTCATCTGTACCGCAATGCACCCACCCAGGCGTGCTAGGCCATCATGAGGCTGAGGAAGTTAAGGTTCTTTTCCAACCCTGGAGAGTGTGGGTCAAACAGACGAACTGTGTGTCTTGTGCCCCTGTAATTGGAGGGAGGCTAGACCGAGATGTGTTTATGCTTCTTTTCGTTCTCGGTGCTGCAGAAGGAGAAGAGGCTGCTGGAGGAAGTGAACCCCTGGGTAAGGGGGGTGGCCCCGGCAGGACTTGCCGAGGCACGTTTTGTTTTATTCCCGGGATCACCACCTAGCACCAGCCAGCCAAACAGAAACGTTTCGCGGGCCGCAATCAATCTGAAAGCCAGGAACGAACCTGTCAGCTCGCTCAGTCTGGCAGCCATCATCGATGCATGAAATTGACCGACGATCGGGTTGGTCTGCTCCCCACCGGGCGGCTCCATTGTGGCGGGCCGAGGGTTGAGACCTCCTAGCCCGATGCGGAGCCAATCGCATTACAGCAACATGCAGATAGAGTGGATCACGATATTCCGCGAGTTGGGTGCTGCCCACGAATTTGATCGTAGTGAAGGTTGCAGCTGCTTCTGATGAGCTCGCTGACTCTGGAACAGATTAACACACCACCAAGTATTTCCAGAGTCAGCGTCGGTCGAGATATGAGCATCTGGGCTTCTTCGGGCAGGATATATCGGACGATGATCTGTCTCAGTGACCATCCACTCTGGAGACAGCTGCTCCTAGGATGGCCTTCGTGCTGAGGTTTCCGAGCACATGTGATTGCGACGGACAATTCACAAATACCGAGTCCAGATGAAATCGAAACGAGCTGTCATATCTCATTTACTAGAATCATGTCTCCTCCAATGCTTGCGAGAACTCTCCTGTGACTTGGGAGAACGAGGTAGGGAAGTGCCCGTTCGTAAGGCCCAGTCGAACGTTCTCGATCCACGAAACCTTCAGCCATGGAGGCCTGATGGCTCATATCCTGCTCAATATCTATACAAGTAACGTCAGTATCATGCGATGCCGAACCCTGGCAGATCAATCTCGACGCCATCACTCTTCCCCCTCATCTTCAGCCTGATCTTGGTCTTCTTCCTCGGAACTCGAGTCACTGTCCAGGTTCGGGTCCGGCATGACCACATCGTTCAAGAAACTGACCTGGGACTAGTAAGCTATGGAGGTTTCACCTTGATCCAGAGCACGTTCCACTCACATATCCAACCATGGGCCTGATAATATCCGCGACCTGGTCCTGGCCGTTGTCCGCCGTGAAAACACTGTCAGGGATCTTCTTGCCCACCGTGAAGTTGCGCAGCTTGAGCAACTCGATGTCTCGGTGATCGGCGTCGAAGCCCTGTATTAGAGGGACAGATTAGCAGCGGTTTGGTTCAACTCTTCCCCGGCCGGCACACCCCGACACGAGAGCCTCGATTCAGTCCAGAACAAAATCGGTTGCTCCCGCCAGAAGACCTCGGCATGTCCTCAGACTTTAGATGAAGAGCAAGCTGGACCTCGGCACCAGGGCTAAGCTTCCAGAAAGGACCCACTCACCTTTGGCTTCGTCTTCAGGGCGTTCTCTGTATTTGCCTTACAGAAAGCTTTCAGGCAGCTCTTCTCATCGCCCCTCTTTGCCCCAGGCAGGAATGTCGCCCGAAACGAATCCTCCAGCAGAACCCTTCTCCACCGGCGCGGCCGCTCGTCGATGGACGCGCGCAGCTTCGCCAGGTGGGACGCGTCCGGGTGCCACAGCCCGCCGCCGATGAAGCACGAGCCGGGTTCGCAATGCACGTAGTAGCAGGCGTAAGGACCTTTCCGCCCCGTGCGCGAGAAGGCGACGCTGTAGTGCGGCTTGTAGGGGGTTGGGTCGTTGCTGAAGCGGATGTCTCTGTAGATCCGGAAGACGACGTCCTTGAGAGGGAGTTCCGGAATGGTGGGGTCCAGGGCAATGAGTTTCTGCATTAAGGTTTCGACGTAGCTGTTCCAGTCTTTGAGTGAGCGGCGATATTCGGGGTCGTTGGCTGGAGCGGGGCGCCTCGTTAGCCATTTCACGTTCTACGAGTATTCCCTTGATGGAGGTATCGGCCAGTATCTTACACTTGAGCCACGACCTCTTATTGTTCGCCTTGAGGTCCTTTAGGAAAAGCAGAGTATTCGGGTGCAGCATCTCATCGTCGTAATCGACGCCTCCAATACCGCGCATCTTGTTCAGTGGTGTGATGGTAACCCGCGGCTCTTCATCTTCGTCCAGCTCATCATCGTCATCTTCCTCATCCTCGACTTCCTCTTGGAACTCGTCTGCGTCGTCGTCGTCCTCGATCTTGGCCTTCTTGCCGCTGGAGGTCTGACGCGACGCGGAGTTCTTTGGTGGCCTCCCTCTCTTCCTGACAGTGCCGTTTCCATTTTTGGCCTTGACATCGTATGCTGAGGTATATTCGCTCTTGTCTCCAAGCTCATCGTCGGAGTCGGACTCGAAGTACTGGCTCTTCTTTCCGGACGAGCTGATGCGCGTTGAGCGGCGGCCGCCGGATGCGACGGGGGTCTCGGGGGCTTCGGCTTTTCGCTTTCGTGGAGGCATGTTGGCGATGTATATACTGGATCAGAAGGAGCTAAAGAGTACTAAAAAGATATCCGGTAGTGTTTCAGTGCAATAGAGTGTCGAGCACGGCGTCTGGCAGCAGAGCATTTGGCTCGAGTGTAGACGTCATTGCTAATCTCAGCTGGAGAATTGACGCGACCAAGGCGCGTTTCACCAAATTCCCCGACTCCCCGACTCCCTCGTCCCAGCGCGAAACCACGTGTGGCCCACTCGCTTACTTTGGCACGCTTCCTCTCTTTGGTTGATCAATTCCTCCCTCGACATCACCCGATCATAACCTTTCACTCTGGATCCAGGCAATCAGAAGATAGTTCTTGATACTTTTAAATAATTATACAAATCTATTCGGGCATTAATTACGCAATTGTCTTCACAGTCCAGCTCGGCGGCAGATCCTCATCGGCCGTGCCCCAGCTGCTCTCCCTTGGGCCAACGACAAACTCCAGCACGCCGCCCTTCATAAAGAACTCGTGCGTGATCCAGCTCCTTGTCCACGCCTTGCCGTTGAGCGTCGCGCTCTGGATGTACTTGGCCTCGTATGTCGGGTCAAAGTTGAGCACCCTGATTATAGACCACTGGCCGTTCCTCGCCCGAAGCTTGACCTCTCTAAAGAATGGCGGCGTCAGGAGGTACACGTCCTGCCCAGCCACAGGGAAGAATCCCATCATCGCCAGCCCAGAGAATGCTCCCATAGCGCAGTCGTCGTTGCCGGGGATGCCAGCAAAGGTGGTGTTGAACAGGCTGGGGATGTAGCGGTGGGCCCAGTACGAGCTCAGCCCGGGCCGGCCGGCGTAGTGGAACTGGAAGACGGGCAGGAAGGACTGCTCGTTGCCCATGTAGATGATACCCGACTCGTGGAAGTAGTCAAGGCGCTGCACGAAGAGCTTCTTGCCGCCCATGACCTCGATCAGCGACGCCATGTCCTGCGGCACGTAGAAGCTGTACAGCCACGGGCTGCCCTCGTACGTGCCCATGCCCGTGTCCAGGTAGCAGCGGTGCATCTCGTGCACCGGGCTGCACGTCCGCGTGCTGTGGTACTTCCAGCTGCCGTCCACCGCCCGCAGCTGCAGGAAGCCCTTCCATTCGCTCCGGACGTGCTCCTCGTCCTCGAAATTCTTGTTGGTCTGCACCACCACGTCCCCTTGGTTTGCGTTCCACAGGTTGCGCCAGTTGGCACTGCGGCGCATGTACTTCTCGTAGTCGTCTTCCTTGCCCAGCGCCTGGGCCAGTAGCGCGATGGCGAAGTCGTCGTATGCGTACTCGACCGTTCGTGAGATGCTGCGTGTGCTTCTTCCCGTGCCGTTGTTGTCGACGTCGTCGTACGGGATGTAGCCAAGCTCGTGGTAGCTGACGAGATTGCCGCGTCCTTCGGTGTTCCAGCTCGTGGGCTCCTCTTCTGCGTCGGAGACCACGGCTGCGTATGCTGTTTCCCAGTCTACGCCGTCGGTGATGCCCTTCAAGAAGGCATCAGCTATCACAACATCTGCATTAGTCCCACCTTGTGTGAAGCCCTTACAGAATGCCATACGGCAATCTGGAAGCTTGCCTGTGTATTCTCGTCAGCACTTGCACAGACATGCATTCATTTGAACATCCCATGCTTACCAAGGTTTCGGTAAATATCAAGCAGTGTGCGGACCATTTGGGCCTGCGCATCAGGGTCGATGATGCTCAGCAAAGGATGTTGAGCGCGGAACGAGTCCCAGATGCAGTAAAATCTAAGTAGAAACTCAGTCAGCCTTTCGATCGTGGTATTAAAACTCAGAAATGACGGAAGCCACTCACGAGTCAAAGTACGGCTCATCCGATTTCCACAACTGGTTCTCCCCCGTATAGTTCTGAGGTGACAGCATCGTCCTGTACAATCCAGACCAAAATGTTACCAGCAGCGCGGGGTCGATGTCCGTCTCGTCCACCTCAATGACACTCAGCTTCTCCGCCCACGCATCCTCCACCCTCGTCTGCACAGCGGCAAAATCCCAATCCGGTATCTCCCTCTCCGCGTTGCGGCATGCCTGCTCGCGCGAGATGAAGCTCAGCCCAACGCGCGAGAGGATCTCATCCTTGGGCGGACGTTCGAACTGGATCCACGCGCCGACCGAGCCGGAAGGCACGCTAAAGTCGCCGTCGGGGTCGCGCTCGAGGATACGGCGACCGCCGTCTGGCACGTCCTGCATGAAGGTGCCGGCCTTGCGGACGACGCCGCCCTTGAAGTCGGCGCAGAAGAACGCGTCGTACGAGCCCGTGCCGAACGACGGCCGGTACTGGCTGTCGCCCGTGATGCGCATGCCGTCGGCGTCGACGCGGATACCACCGCCGCTTCGCGTGTTGTCGAGGTCGTTGAGGTCCACCAGGATCAGCGGGCTGTAGGGCACCGCGTTGCCCAGGCCGTCCCGCGGGCTGTCCTTGTCCGGGAAGCTGAACCGGTACAGCGCTGTGTGCTCTGCTGCCGTCATCTCTGCCGCCACCGAGTTCTTGAGCCGAATCGAGAAGTACCCCGGCTTCGCCTTGGCGGAGTATGGCAATCGCATCACCGACCTGGTGAGCGTCATGTACTTGCACTTCGCCACGTCGTCGTCTGGGCAGCCCGGATGCACAAACAGGGGGAATTGCCCCATAGACGGCCGCCCTCCCGTGCCCGAGTCGTGAAGATGCGAAAAGCCGCTGATGAAGCTCAGATCCTCTACGTAACCAGCCGCGTTCTCATCCTTGTTCGCGGAGTCGGCCACGGGCTTGGCCATGCCGTATGGCAGAGTCGCTCCCGGGAACACATGGCCCCCGTTCGTCGTCCCGATTAGAGGATCGATGTACCTCAGGACGCTCCTTGGCGGCGTCAATCTCTGCGGTATGGCGTGTCCTGGGATGATGAGATCCAGGACCGAGCCCCTGAACGAAGTAAACCCCGGCACTGGGATCAAAATCACGACCAGGAAGAACACCAGCGAGTACACTACTACCGTCCTCCTGCTGGGTCTGCGTGAGAGCCGTTTCGGCCGGTATGGGGCCCCAACCTTCTCCTTGTACTTGGCGCCCCGAGGCAGCGCGCCGCTGGCCATGGTCGATGCTTAGCTTGGCGCGGAAACCGCGAGCCTCAGCAAGGGTTGCTGCCCGCCTGAACCAAGATCCTGAGCAGGTCTGATGGCGTGAGGTTCTTTTATGTGACGAGGCCCTGGGGTGGCCTCAGCTTGGTGAGGTCGCACTCTTTCAGGTGACGGCGCCAAGGAGATGTGTTGGCTTTGCGGACCGAGGCGGCATGAAGTGGTCAGCGGATCGAGGCCCTCCGTGTCAGCGCATGTATGCTCGGGTGTGAGGCAGTACAGTATCAGCGACTAGAAAGAGTCTGCGTCGGACCGAGCAGGCGGTCAGCTCTGATAGAGATCTTGAAGGTGAGCCTGTGAAGCTTCTCACTTTCTGATGTCCTCCGACATTGAAGGAATCCGGACCCACATTCTTGACACGGTGTCGGATGCGCCGTGTGGTATCCCCCGGCTCTTGGCGGGAAACTGGCTAAAATCGCTGGGCTTGGCATCCTCACAGTGGCGAAAGTCCGATTGCTGACTGGCCAAGTGACGTCTCTTTGTTTTTTTTTGTGGAGGCAGCGTGGGTGCTGACCACTCATTCTACGCGTCACGCACTGAGAAGACCACGAGAATTCACTGTCCCGTAACTTGATGGCAGAGGCAAACTTTATTGAGGCAAGCAACCAATGCTGACACAGGCAAAGCACGATTCGATAAGCGATTGAAGTTGACTTTGCAGGCTACCCCTGAGACAGGGGTTTATCTGCCGAATGGGGTGAGATGAAAGTCCCCAACTTGGTGACTTCAGCCTTAGATACTGAATGAAAAGTTTAAATAGACTATTAATGTTTTCCTCCCAAACTTATATTGAGACCATTATTTTGGGGGGGGGGGGGGAGGGGGTTTACAGTGTTCAAGATATATCAGTGCAAGGGTAGCAAGTGATCATGCATCTCTTCTAGGCAATGTTTCTTCTCAGTTGTCTTTGAACTTCGAGTCGTAGCCAGGAAGCTAAAACAATGCTGCCCACGAAGAGACCTTTCCTGTGCACGACCACCCAGCCCGCGTATAATCAGACAATCATGACGCAAGAACCAAACTCACTGGTCATCGTGATTATAGCTGCCACCGAAATACTCGTGCCGCGGCTTGGCTGGACCGACCGTTAATATCCGGACCCACAGTGCCCTCACTAAGTTCAGCGCCTTCACAGCTCGATTCAAAAGGCAGGACGGTAAAGACATGCTTATCATTGGGACTAAGTCGATTTCCCAGGGACTTCCATTGATCTAGAGTCTGATAAATTTCTGAACATAGACGTGTTGACGGGCTACGAAAGACTATGACCTTGAGAATGAGGTAGAGACAAAACAGCAATCACGCCACCAGAAAGGTGAGCGGTCTTTGTACTAATTGATGAGTCTGATTGCGCTGGAAGCCTGTTGAAATCAACGCTTCTCAAAGGTCGTTGTGAAAGGTCGGTGGATTCTGCCAGTTGGTGGCCCGGATCTTCTCCCCGTAGAGTCTCAACATTCCTACTGGCAGTATGAAGGCAAAAGTCAAGAAAGCGAAGACCAGCCACGCGTATTGGAACTGGATCATTTCACCAAGGGGGATACTGCACAGCACATTTTGGTCAGCAATTCTATCGTTTCAGAGAGCAAAAGACGTCATGTCGCTTACGCATAGAAGGAGACGAAAGCGCTGAAAATGGATCGGAACAGGTTCAGGATAGAGGATATCTCCGCACTTTGGGGTTTGTAACACTAGGAAGATCGGTCAGCTGCATAAGTACCTGCAAAATCGCTCGGGTAGGGGCTAAGACTTACGTCCGTTGTGTAGGAGTAAACTACTGTCGTCGACACTTGGAGACCGAAGTTTGCAATTCCCATACCAAATGCATTGCCCACCCAGCTTGTGGATGCCGAGTGGGTGATACATACGCCTTGTATGATCGTGCCGATGGGTAACAACAATGCCAACCAGAGCGCATCGAGCCGGGGCTCCGGTGGGCGCCTGCCATCGTGGCGCTGAGAGTGTTTGTAGATCAAGAAATCGACAAACCACCCCGCATTGGCCTCACCAATGAGACTGCCGATCAAGAGTGGAATGCTGAGGATGAGTCCGGTTTGCACGAGATTAAAATGGTAGAATGTCCGGAAGACGACCGATCCCGTGGATGCAAACAGAACAGTCCCGAAAGAGAACGCCGTCATATAATACAAAGCTGGGAGAAGCACGCAAACATATTTCAGCATCGTGAAGGGCCTGGTAAAGTCGACTAGACGGAGCTTGCGGCTAGGCGAGTGCTTGGGCCTGAACAAGAGAAGGTCCATGTAAGAGCTCTCGTGATACTCAGTAGGTTCGGCCTGTGTCTGGCGCGAGTACAGCGTCTCTGGAAGGCAGAAAAGAGTGATGGCGAAAAGGGCAAACTGGATGTAGGACGGGATGGTGAAGCAGTATCTCCAGCCCAAGTTCTGAGCAGTGAAGCCGCCAATCAGCGGGGCAAGGTGTGGCCCGTTAGTCAGAAAGAAGGTGAAAATGCCCATGAAGAAGCCTCTCTGGTGGAGAAAGTATAGGTCGCATATCGTCGCGGCGCCTATGGCGATGGTGCTGCCAGCCCCAATGCCCGAGAAAGCACGGGTAGCGAGGAGGCCCCCCCAGGTAGAGCAGTTTCCCGCTACTAGGTTGGCGATTGCGGCTAACAGGTTGCCTCCGAGGTAGATTGGGCGCCTTCCGTAGACATTGGCAAATGGTACTATCAGGAGTGGTCCCACGCCCGCGAAGATGATCTGGCGAGCACCTTAGTCCCTTGTGCGCGGTGCAAGTTTGCATGAGAGGTACAAGAAGCAGATGACTTTGGAGACTCACATACATCGTCAGCTCGTAAGACGCTGCGACGGGTGAAATTTTAAAAGCTTTACCCAAGGGTACGAAAGCAGGATTGATGACTGCCGCGGCCATTGGTCCTATGAGTGCCAGCAAGGATATCTGGAGGAGAACAGCAAGCTTCCACGCAGGAGACCAGTTCTGGAGTCAGATGTCAGAACGTGCCACCAATCACACCTTGGTAGTCCAACAGAGCCGTTGTACATATGTATATAAGATCTGTTTGGTTCTACTACTACTTACCAACGGGTCATCTCTATGGTCTGAGGGCTGGGGGACCAATGGGAGGCCGTGTTTGTCGAGCTTAATGGCCGGAACAGGCGATTTGCCGTCTTCATTAAGCTCAAGAATGCCTTTACTGTCTGGCGGAACATGATGTCCATCCTCCACGTCGTGATTTGGAGAAGCCATTGTCTTGGTAGTATTTTGCGGGGCTATGTCCCAGAGGTAGGTAGAGAGCGACAAGACGACGTATGGTCCTCAGACCTCACAAAGAAGACTAAATATATATGTCTGAAGAAAGAGGGAGAGCACACTATCAATTTCCGTGTCAGCTGACTAGCGTGAGAAGAAAACAAACACACCCCAGACGAGAATGAGGACTGACAATTATATTCAGGCTAGCGCCGGAAAAACGCTGTGGTTTATCCAATATCCATGCTGGAGATCACACGCTAATGCTTCCTTCCATCTTGTCCAGTCGGCACTTAATGATTGCTCCCTCTAGACCAAGACCCTCTCCCTGCACCCAAGACATTCACGCATGCAGTCCACAGTAGGCATGACGGCCTCGAGAACGGCGTAACTGGGGTTGTTGGGAAAAGATCTGCTACAGGGGCTGTACCACCTAACTGCCTGCAGGGTACCGGCCACAACATTGCGGGGAAGTGCATCTTGGGGCCGACGTTGCAACCATGGATCTGATACTAACTAATCATGTAATCATCATTGCACGGTACAGGATCGAGGCCTCAATAGGGATCAGTGACGGGTCTTGGTTATCCCGCAGCTTTCCAGCTTGTGAGCAAACGGTCTCCATGACTAGACCTCAAATCTGAACTATATATAAAGGTCTGCCTCTTACCCGTTGGGTCTCGACACCTTGTTGCAGTCTATGGCATAGGAGGCTTCTTAGCACGTTCCAACGGCAGAACTCCAATCAATATGTACGGAAAGATAGCACTTGAAGAAGCTTGTAGGTATCCGCTTTGTGACCCCTCCGGGTGTGGTCTTGGCATTTTAGACCTCCACTTGAACAAAAGAACAGCAGCCTAGTTATTCCAATCACCAATTCAGGCTATCGTGAACCGCGAGAAACATGCTGAAACTGGTGGAACAATGTAGGGGCCATCCCAGAGAATTTTAAGGCCTATGATGTATCTACCCTCGCACCCAAGGGCGTTATCGGCGGCGACCTAATCGAAAATCTCCTCGATGTACACGGCACTCGGTTGCAGCAAATGGACGAGAACGGCGTCGACATGATGGTTCTCTCGCTTTCCTCGCCGGGCCCACAGGGGCAGTCAGATCCCAGCGAAGCCGCCAAGCTCGCCACCCTCGCTAACGACCGCCTGTCCGAGGAGGTCATGAAGAACCCGACTCGCTTCGCAGGCCTGGCTTCGCTCAGCATGCACGACCCGGTGCAGGCGGGTGCCGAGCTCCGCCGCTGCTTCGCGGAGAAGCAGGGCTTCGTCGGTGTCATCCTGAATGACTACCAGAGCGCCGGTGATGACGGCAATAGGATGCTTTTCTACGACCAGCCTGAGTACGATGCGTTCTGGAAGGTTGCCGAGGAGCTGGACTGCCCCGTCTATATCCACCCGAGGGCATCGACGCCCCTGATACACGAGGAGCTGTGGAAGGGCCGGCCGTGGCTTGAGTTCTCAGCCTGGGGCTACGCGACGAGGGTCGGCACACACGTGCTTGGAATTGTTACAGGCGGCGTTCTGGACCGTTTTCCCATGCTCAAGGTTGTTATGGGCCATATGGGCGAGCACATGTAAGTTTTTCGTACGATTTGAGGTCCAAATTTGTGTTCGTTCTAACTTGAATGTTCCAAGCCCCTACGATCTATACCGGATAGACCACAAGCTGAATAGGGCGCGTTTCCCCAACATGCCAATGGCCAAGGACAAACTCGTCCGCGACTACTTCGGCACTCAGTTGTTCATTACCACCTCCGGGCACTTCTCGACGCCGGCTCTGCTATGCGCCATGCAAGAAATCGGGTCGAGGTCCATCATGTTCTCTATTGACTATCCATTCGAGTCTATACCAAATGGGTGTGTATGGTACGACGACCACGTTCCAATCAACGGCGGCGACCTTGTCGACATTGGGCGCAACAATGCTTTGCGTGTCTTTCCCAAGCTAGCTGGTGTCCACAAGGTGCAGCAGAAGGGAGAAAGGGCATGCGGAGTCGGTGGGCTCGGCCTGAGAGGCAGCAAAGAAGTCGAATATGGCTTGTACAATAATGACTGGAGCAGGCGACTAGAAAGGAATTGAGGCTCTCCCTCGGGTAATTTTCGAAATATTAAAGCCCCCAAAAGTTAAAAATGGACTACCCAGGCTTCGCGAAAGCATAGCCACAGTAGCCCCACTATCCGGTTCCAGCGTTACGCGCGAGACTGCCTTGACCGTATTTCTTCTTGCCTTCTTGGTCTTCTGAATATACCGGTCATGCTATGTGAACCGATCTCCTCATGCAGCTCCGTGACTATACCGTAGCTGCGGTATGCGCTTGCGTAGAACCAAAAGATAGCTTGTGATATGAGTGGGCCTTGGTTCAATGTCGTTGATAATCTCTGTTGGGGTCCTTTCCGTTCCGCCTGCTCAACATCACTTGTGCGTTAGCTTTTGACGCCAAGTAGGGAGGCACAACAGTCTACTAGGTTGCCTTCAGAATGTACATACCACGCTGCCTTCGAGCTCGCCTCCCTTGGCATATACTGGTCAAAAGCCACAACGACTTGCTAACCTTTCATATGGGCACAGAGATATACCCCGACGCAGGATCTAGCCTTAATCTTTGCCTGAAGGCGTGTTGGAATTTTCCATAAGATGACCGTGATACAGTCTACCATCATCCTGCTTCAATGAAGCAACGGTCTTTTGTCCCAGAATTAACCATGTTTGTTTTTGTGTTTATTTGATTTATGCTGGTGTCCACTCTGGCTCTGCGTACTGGTCGGCCGGGGTGCGAAGTCTATCGTCGTTGTGATCTGAGAGGACGCTGTCAATCTGGAGGCACTAACGCTGACGTTGGCGACTGCAGGCGCCGTTTTTGCAGCATCTGGCGTCCAAGTTAAGCTCTTGAAGCCACAGCGGGCCATGATCTCGTTAATGTCGTCCATGTTGTCGGCCTTGTCACTGGGCAACCCCTTCTGATCGATGCAGCTTGCGCAAAGCGCCGTGGCGCCCCCGACATCAAAGCTCTGATTGGCGCACATGCACTGAAGTTTCATGAGGTCTTCTACCTCTTCGTTGTTATCGTCAAAATCGGCGTCGACGTCGCAGATGCCGCTGATCTCTGCGACAGGCCGGCAGGTATCGACGCATGGGGCAGGTACGTCAGCATAATCGAGCTGGAGGCCGCCCCGGACTGCGAGCGAAAAAGTGATTATTGTGAAAAGAATGAAGAAGCTCATTGTGATGGAAAATGTATTATTTTGAGGGCAGAATCATTAAATGCCACGGCGCGAAAGAGACACGGTTGTCCCTCGGCTAGCTGCTAGCGACAGTGATGGAGCAGTCCTCGACCATTCAAAGGGAGCCGTATCAGCGTCTTCGATATTTCGGATCTAGTACTCACGGGCAGTGAATATATGTATTGGTAAGGTAGTATATGTACTACATAGTATGCTCGTCCCATGTCAACTGCCGACTGTACCCTTGATAAATTTGTCACAACATCGGACTAAGCTAGGCAGCACTTGGTATACTCCCCAGACTACATCACGTTTCATTCTTCGCGGAACTTCTCATCCTATATCATGCTTCAAAACCTTATTTTCAGGTATTGGAGTTGATGTCGGCGCTGCATTGCCACAACATCGGACTTGCCGATACAAAGCTTATGATGTGTCTTATAGCAATGCTATATTTTATTGTCACGCAGGAGTATTTCCAGACAGGGGAGCTAATCTCGATAACTTAATACACGTGGAGTAGGCATTATGCCTTCAGGGTTAGAAGTAAAGCTGTTCCCAATTGCTCTCTGTGCCTAGAAATAGACAGGCTTAGGGGGACTGCAGCCCACGTACGGCAATAATATAAGTCAGTCCATCAGCCCGTCAGTCCATGTCCTGGCTGTGTGTAGGCTACCTTGGTGTTGCATGTACCTCGAGCTATTTGTTGTTGACTAAGGGTGTTCTCTCATTTCCGTTTGCCTACTTTAGCAGCTTGACTATCTTAGTACGTCTTCAACTTAACGCATTGATATGCTATCAATAAGAACGAGATTCATAGACAAACGCCGTATCATCATTTAAAACTCTCTACGTTCAAGAACAAGAAGGAAAATGAGCGGACGGGCTTATTGATAACTCCGTGCCTATGTCTCAAAGCAGAGCCCGGAAGATGGTGTCCAGGCAAGTGTTGGCGATCCCATCTCTCTGGTCCGCTCTACTTATGCTTAGAACATTTGATAAATCTGCGTACCGTCGTCTCAGTTACACCAAAAGTATGTATTCAATTCACGTATTGTTATCCGTATACACATAAATACTTCACATTACTTCCTTTCTCAATTCCAGCACTCATTGTGCACTATTCATGTGTACCCTTTTATGAAGTCGTAGCATCAGGATTCAACCCCAAATTCACGTTCTAATTAATCCCAAGGCTCAGGTGAACTCTTCCTGCTAGATTCATCCGAATCCGGCTGCGAAATGTAACGGTCGATAACTCGAGCGGCACTGGGTGTGAGCTCCGAGAATGGCATGCCTCCCATATGTAGTATTTCACTATCCTCGTGGAAGAACTGATGCGCCATGTCCGTCCTCCATCGGCTTGTGATGAGAATTTTCACGTTAGCCTGGATGTTTCAGTCGCCCACGAGGCGCAGAGTATCTGTCAAGACGTATTGCATCTCGATGATAGACTTGTCACGCTCATAATACACCACCCTGTCGATGAGAAAACAAGTGTCACTTCAACCGGTAGACAGTGAACAAGAGCATCGAAAAGCGGGCAGATTTGGCGCAGGTCTCCTTGTTCGACACGATCAATGTCAAGCTCCCAAGGAGGAGAAGCGATGTTTATCTATCACTAGACCAACTCACCTGCACAATTTAAGAAGCACCCAATGGCCTGTTTCACTGCCTGGAAGATGGCCACCACTAGGGAGATTGACGTTTGTTTGACATCGAGATTCTTTGGAAGATAGCAGCAAAGCTACTGATATTTGAGAATTGCTTCTCAAGTTTCGAAAGGCTGGCCAAAGTCTCCTGTCGTGTTTTGGCAGCTGCGCTCTGGCTGGTAGGAGGAGACCAACGGTTCCATCCACCGGAGTCACCCCAGATTAATATCAGGTACGATCTTGGCAATGTGTGTGGTAGGTTGGCTTAGACTGTCTACAACCTTGCGTCGTATGCGTTTGAACACTGAGTGTCCCAAAGTCTAAGCGCTATATGACCCGATGCGGGTAGCTGAGGCCACCTGAACAGGGTTCCCTGACGCACATCAGCCCAAGAAGGTTACTTAAGTACCTTCCTAAAATATTCAGCGTTTTACTGCCGTTTCCCTACGGCAATACGCGTAGCGGCAAAATACAAGCAATACAAAACGGCTTGGAAGGGGAAGCCGGACAAAATCGTCACACGGTCAGGATTCGTAGGTGTTTCGGGTTCAGTCGTATGGTATTCCAAGCGTGGCGACTAGAGCACCGTACAAGAGACTGATTCTTGAAGAATCAGAAGGAAGAACAAGATGGCATCGGAAGCCCTCATGGGGACTTCATATGCGGGCCCTCCGAACGTCCTTCGGGGGTGGGTCGTGGAGACCCCGGCTGTTACAGCTTAGTTCAATAGGGTTACTGTTCTGGGGCTTGATGAATATGAACATGCGCCAAAGCTTCCAGGCAGGCAAACAGGCAGGCAGGGTGGGTATGTATGATAGAGAGAGGGAGAGAGTACGATATAACGAAGTAGATAAAGCGAGGTTGAAAGTCTAATGCCTCTACGGACGGAGATATACTGAGCAATCGAGTACTGAATACCATGAAATCAATCACGATCCTCCTTTGGTGAGGCAGGTGTAGATATTTATAGAGATATTTGACCACAGATCGTGCCACTGGGAGAATTGCATCATGTAGCTTTCCCCTTTCGGGTTTCTAACGTGACGATGAGATAGACTGCGATGTATGACAGGCCAGATCGTAGTAAGCGACGTCATGATGATGACGAATGTGATTTATAACAAAAAGGTCACTATCAACCACGACCGAAGACAACACGAGGCTGAGGTATGACGCGATTTTGCAGTGAGGCGGAAAGCATTGGATGTTGTTCAGTCTTGGCAAAAGAGTTATCAGAATGTACCAATGGGTTTGGAGCCATATTCTTGCACTTTTGTGGTGAATCGGAACAGAAAATGAGTCACCGTAATTCTCACACTCGAGCTGGGCATATAAGTCAGTTATCTTGCAGGTAGAGCCTTCCTTGTTCGCTACTGATTTCCTCACCTATTATCTATCTATCCTAACCGCGTCCCTGTTGCACCATCTTACTTCATTGCTCAGATCAAAACTGAAAGAGATTGTACTAAATGGGTACTACCACAATATGTAGACACGCTGGCTGTAATAGAGCTCGGCTTGCATACGCTACAAAAATCTCACCGTGGTGCCAATACCGTAAGCATCTACGTTAACGTGCACACAGCGACTAGTCCAGTATTATATTTATCGTCATGATCTCTGCTGATTCTGAGGTTCATTGTTAATACCAGACACTTGTCCTCGATGTACCAATCGATTTAAAGGCATGTCATCTAATGCGTGCAATACTTGCACTGGAGGAAATGATTGTGTGGTCATGTGAAGTTCATCAACTGTCACTGCCACGGCTTTGAAAGGGGTAGTTTTCAAAGGGAAGAAGGAATTCGATAAAGGCAATGGGGAGACGCAGAGTAAACATGCCGCAGGCGTCCACTACCACGACGGTCAATTTCGAAAGAGAATTCACTTCAGTCATCTCCATAAGCAATTAGCGATCCCCGACTAACATCTTTAACCTTGATAAGTTGGCCATTGACGACCATCATCAAGGCTTCTATTTCGTCATAGCCAAGCTGTTGCGCGGAGAACGGCCCCGGGGCGGTTGGCACACTGGAAAGACCAATCGAAGCGCCCAAGGGCGGGTCAGGGCCGAAATACGGGCAACATGTGCTGATTGGACGACTGCCTAATTTTCGGCAATACGGGAACATAGATGTCAAATCTGCCCAGCGCCGACGCCGTACATCCAGGCAGAAATGCAGAAATACAGAAATGCAGAAACGAGTCAAATGAGGGCCGTGGTATGAGGCAAAATGGTGGGTGGGTCAGGAACTGCGACTTGACCGCGAGCAGAGCCTCAAATTACCTTCTCTCTTTGACGTGCGCAAGCAGAATTAGGCTTCCAGGTCATGCATACCCTTGGCTTGAGGGGTATTCCTCCCAGAGCAGACACGGCATGATAAGCTGCTTGTGGTCTTGCCGACATATCTCGGGCGGCACACGCTTTAATTCCTGCCAATGACTGTTCAATGTTCGCCCTGCGAGCTGCATGACGTGGTCACAAAGAACCTGAATCGGTCTAGCTCTACGAAATTACAGGGTGTGGGAGATGAGTGGTGTGGGCAGTGAGCAGCAGTAAGACTCTTGTAGCTATTCACTGGATAGAATTATTACTCGGCACCTTTCTATGCAAGTAAGCGCGCACATGATACAATTCATTTTCGCCTTGTGCATGAAGCAGCAGCAGCAGTAGTGGCGTTGATTTCTGCATCAGAGGATTTCGAAGGATCGATGTATTCGCACACATGTCCTCGAACCTTGTGGCAAAGGCTTGGAACTTGGACAGAGCATCCATTCACTTCGCGCTTGAGGTGCCATATGTTCCCACTCCGTTGATATCATCTTGCACTTGCACCTCGATACCTGATACGTGGCCGTTACACAAGCTGGACGGTTCCCGCATTCCGGCCGTGAGCGAAAAGGTTCATTGGCCACCGTACATGAACGACTAGCTTCGAAGACCAGGCCCTCACAGAAAATCTCATCTCCGCATTCGCAAACCGATCAAGCAGGTATGGATAACCCTAATGAGGTCGCGATTTCTAAGGTCGGCCTTGGAGGCGAGACGCTCGTGACCGCCAGGAACACGAAATTGGGAGCACCAGCGGGTGACGGCAATGCTGCAGCAAACCTCACGTCCAAGCTGGAGTCCTCCCTACCGGAAAGTGCTCGTGATCATGGGGATGAAGGCACGGAAACGCTCCTCCACGGCCAAAATGGAAAGTCCGTCGGCGAGGCAAGTCCTTTTATGAACGATCGATCGCGGGTGTTGAGCGAAATCAAAAAGCTTCAAGATGAGTTGGTCAAAATTGAGAGAGGAGACCGTGAGCAACAAATGCTCGAGAATGTCGAAAGCCGATGGAACAA